GTTTGCGTCAGATCGAAATCGTCAGATTATTGAATGAGAGCTTTTTTTTGGTGCACTTAACACCCCCTTAGAAAATTTGACGCGCTCAATTAATTTTTGTTTACTTTTAACCCTTACATACAACCACCTACATCATGCAAACAATCAGATTAACATACCAACGTTATTAAAAATACGTAGGACATTGATGCTAACAATATCTGACGCGCTCGAGTATGTCCATGCAACAGTATTTTTTTACATATTTAAAAATCTATAGCCGCTTCCCCCACCAATGAAAGGTATATATTATATAACATTTTTTTATTCCTATCATCTAAGCTTTGCAACCTAATATGTCTCAATGACGCTCGAGTAAATCCCCATTTTGCATCGTGGGCTCCCCTGCTATTATCTGACACGTTCAATAATACCTGGAGTATCCCTTATGACATTGTAATTGTCAATTATTCGATTCCTCAAGTAATTCACATCTAGTACAGTAGTTTTATAATCAAAATCGTTCAGATGACCACATAAATAGGAAAAAGAGGATTCATATCACGACTGCAAGCTAGCCAATTTTGAGTTCCTGCGAGTCCAATCCAGCAATTAGGGTAAGTGATGTCGAGATGTTGACGAGCAAAAACACCAAAATAAACTGGAGCCTCGTCGTGCATAAATTACATGTTGCCTCTTACAAGTGCCGGCATTTCTTCAAACAAAATGAATAAATGATCTCGCAAAAAGTCCGTGTAGGATTCACCTGTTAATCTTGCTGGTAGAAAAAATGGGTCAATTAGGTAGTCACCAATCATTCCTACACAAACGTTCAGCAAAAATAGTTGCTGAAAATGATTTTCTCTAATAACATGGGGATTTTTGTCGGCCCAAAAATGGTCACTGTAAAAGTTCATAATAGCATCTCGTGAAAAATTTGCTTCGTTCGTAAATGAAATATTTGGAAAAAAAAATATTAATTGAATAGAACTGAATAGAATAGAAAATGGAATAGAAAAATATTATTGTGTGCCATCGTATGAATCAACCACCTTGTAAAAAATTAATCTTAAGCTACAGTGCAATCTTCATTGTACTATTTGAAGGATCTTCTTCTATCGCATCAAGTATAGCTTCTTCTAGTTCAGGCGTTGGTACAGTTTCTGGTTTTTCACCACCTGTATTTTTAATTAAACTCCCATTTTCATATACTCTTGCATGTAGCGACGTTCTGAATGTTTTAGCACATGGAATTCCTTTGTTAGGATATATATCGTGATAAATTATCCGTCCTTCTTCCGCATTTCCATTTGCTAATCCATAAATAAAGTGTATGTCAGCCATTTCGCCGTTAGTAGAATTATTCAAGACGGAATCACTACTGATTGACAACTCTAACTTTCATTGATATGACAACAGTGTAACTGTCAGTTAGTCTCCAAACTCAGATCCACTTCAGTGTGGGCTCCACCTGTAGTAGCAACATGAATCTGGAACTCCTGGCTGGATAGCCCTGGCAGCTGAAGCCATTAATGGAAAAAGAGAAGAAGAAGATGTTCATGATATGCAAAATGGCTTCAATTTTTTTCTCGAAAGCGAAGTTAGATATAAAAAAACGCAAGGGAAGAAAAAGTTGTATGTTCAGTTGATTAACCTAAAAAATAAAAAACTATAAGTCAGTGGCGTGCTTTTTTTCCAATATTGTTGGCTGCGGTGCCCACCGGGCCTAATAATATCAATCTAGTTGGGGGTAAATAAACGCCTTATTACTTCAAATAACTGTAGCAAATTTCAACCAAATCGGTGTAAGGATATTTATGATATTTTATAAATACCGTTTTTTTAAACTTCAACGCCGTGTGTCACGGAGACTTTTTTTTTAAACGACCTAACGAATCACCCTCTGAAGTTTCGTACCGTAGATAGGAAACATCCTGTATATGTGAAACAGACTCGCTGACAACTTACTTTGTTTAACAAATCATGTGCAAAATTCTGGTCCACTTCTCAACATGTGGCCTTTTTGACTTTTCCTTTTTAGATCAGGCATGGCATTGGTGAAGGTGGAACAGCTGATTCATTTCATTAATTGTGTTCTATCTTATCTATTTAAGTAGCATTGTATGCGGTTTAAAAATTCCGATGTTTGATTGACAGAAACAAAAAAATACTTGGTAATATGAGTTCAATGTTGTTTTTCTTAGTATTAGGTTGTTTTGAAAGTTTTGTCTGTTTTTGTAGCTCCAAATATCAATAAATTTTTATTCTACTGTGTCGTAGTATATATGTCGCAGGCAACTGGTTGAAAAAGCCGTTCAATCTAACAGCTAGCTCTTTGAACGAACAACGCCATTCAATCACACGGCTAGCTTTTAAATTGAATATTTGAGGCGCTCAAAACGTACGCCGCCGTCTAATTGTATTAGTTTAGCGCTCACCACCGCGGCGCTAGGTGAATAAATGCTTGTGCTTTCTTGTGAAAAGGAAGGCTGAAAAGTTGACCTTTCTGAAATTTGGAGGGCCGTAGCTTTGTAAATAAGGGAGAGCGCAGCTTCTTTCTTTCGGATTCATAATTATTAAGTTTCTAATTCATATTAAGAAGATATTTTTGGTCACCTCTCAAACTTAATCCAAGAATAATCTCCCAAGAAATTACAAAAAGTTTTCCAATTCTTTCAAATTACTTACTAAACTAATGGTCACCCTAGTTAATTTGCCATTTAACCAGTTGGCTAAGCATCGTCTAGCTGTAGTGTTGAACGTTGCAGACAACAAGTCGGCTAAACGATGTATAGCCGTGTGATTGAGTGACGTTGTTCAGTCAAAGGGCTAGCTGTCTAATTGAACGGCTATTTTAACCAGTAGACTTATCGATAGAGAATTTTTTACTATATACATTGATGCTGTTAATTAAAAAAAAATATGTGTTGCTTCTTTTCAGCTTATTATATTATAATCTTCACCAGATTTCCATTGATTTGAATGGAATTTTAGAAATTCAGTAGTAAGTTGAAATAGCTCAAACCGTACAAATTTTTAATCATGGAGTAACCAATCTTGACTTTTTTGATATTACCACATTTCAAATTTGTAGTTCCGCTAGCTTTTTGATTTATTGATTCGATAATTTCAATTTTAATTGCTCAGTATACATTATCATCGAAAAGTGATAAATAAGTTCTTCAGACAAATACCAGAGATGGGTGCTAAATTTTTTTGACGCTGCTTCTAAAATTTCTTGTTGATCGTTTTATATTCCAAAAAGTTTAAATCTTGTCGCGGAGCTTGAATTGACAAAGGCGCACAATACCATGCTTATACATACAATAATGTTATGAGAATACAGATAGATATGCTAAGTAACCATAGTGCCGAAACATCCAAAAAATTTGCCATTTGGCAATGATATTGTTAATGAACGCAGTGTTAGAAATTTCGTTTCGGAGATTTTAGCCTCAAAGATGGGCCTCGAAGTGGTCGACGTACAGTAATCCAGGACGAGGATTTCTTCACCCTGGTTGAGACTGACCCATCACAAACACTGCATGGGTTGGCCGCATTGGAAAGGTAGAAAAGCTCGAAAAGTGGGTGCCTCACTTTTATAGGTCTCTTCTTCTTTGCTTTTGCACAAGCAAAACGATCCTTTAGATCGGATCGTCACGTGTGATGAAACAGGAGACGTTCAGGATAGTGGTTGGACACCGATGAGCCACTCCGGCACTTCACAAATTACCGTCCGAAAATTAAACAAATTGAGCGTCGAAGTTATGCCTCACCCATCATTCTTCCCAGACCTCTCGCCAACAGACTACCGTCTTCTCAAGCATTTCCATAACTCTCTCTCCGGTAGAACCTTCGCCAATTAGGACCAGGCAAAAACGTCCTTCATCGACTTCATCGAATCCCGATAACACAATTTTTATGTTGACGAAACTTATAGACTTTTGTTACGTTAGCAAAAGTGCACTGATTCAAATGGAGCTTATTTCGATTAAATTGAATGAGTATTCACTGAGACATTACAGTTTGAAGAACACTCATAAACACGGATAAAACGTTTGAGACTTGTTTTTCATATTGAGTCGATGGTTGATGTTGTTTTGTTCAAAATGAAAAAAGTTTTATTTATAAGGCTCAGGTCAGACTCTACTTTGTGTTTTGTGTTTCAGTTCATCAGAGAATTAGACCTATTAGTATAATAAAAAAACTTCGTTTCCTAATTTTACTCTTCCTAAATATATAAGAATCGAACTTTCATATACGACATTCAATTTTTTTTGCCCGTAAAATTGTATATTTCATCGAATTGCATTTGTAATTTGGATGTTGCTTTGATTGAAGCTGAGTTTTGAAATTGAATTATCGCTATACGAGGAATTCAGAAGTTTCCAGAGGTCATCAATATTGTAATAACTCACCTGATATTTTCCGTGATTCGAGTAAACATGCTTTCAGCGTTACGCCACTGGCTATACAAAACAGGGCGCTAAACGGAGAACAGCTGATTAAGGAAGAACTAAGACAGCTAGCTCTCTTTGTTTCCAGTATCGATAACATAAACAGGAATACCAAAATACAACTAAAAAGCACGTTAAAAAGTTCCGAGAAATGTTTTTGTTCAAATACTTCCTAGATGTTGTTGGATAATGTGAAATAATAAAATGTTAACGAAAAATAGGTACGTCAACATTTATTTTTGACTCTCGTAGTATGACTTATCCATATTTCTTTTTCTACATATGTGAATAGTTAAGCAAGTGATCATATGTACCTATATCCAGCAGAGACATTCTATGTCATTTAAATTCGAATGTCAGATATCACTTCAAAGATCAAACTGCTTTCTCCAAATGGCAAAAAGAATAGGGATGATGAAATGAGGCCAAAACAATTTTAGGTCAGGTCAGGAGAAAGGGGGTATTAGATCACAACGGAGGCGTGTTAAAAAAATCGTCCTCGATATAAATTTGAAAATGTGAAATACAAACAAATATTTTTTGGAAAACAGAAATATCACTTGCCTGGAGCTACTCCACTTCGAAGCAAAAATGGAATATTTTAAAACTAACTTGGAATTGATCACTTGGCGAACTGTTCATTTTCCAACGTTTGGCAGGAAAGCCCAGCTGATAAATCAGCCAACTAGCCACAAAGACTGATTCTAACGAACAGCCATGACTTCACGGCCGTTCATTTTATTTTTAGCCCCGAACACGCGCGGAGGGGTATTCGATGTCCGACTCTGTCCGAACACGGGGATATATTTGGAGTTCTGTTGGGGGCGAGTGGAGATATTTTTATTCAGACCCCAAACAAATTTCATATATGGACGTATATTATCGTAATTATAAAAAGTATATCATTGAAGAAACATTTGCTGAGATATAATGATTCAAGACAGAAATTAAATGTTTTTTAATGCTTCTATTTCAAATATTTATAAAGTTTGTCTGAATTTTATTGAGTATTTTGTAAATACATTTTACTCGATATTTTATATTTCGACTCTAAAATCAAAATGTAATTATGTGTTATGAAAGTATACCTATGTGTAGCATCCTTACGAACCACAACCCTCAGAAGTCGAAAATTGTGCAAGTTGAGCACTAACCACGTCTTACCTTTTAACGTGTGATGGCTAGTAAAAATAGATAGTTCGGCCTGCGCCTTCAACCACCGACTCACACATCGGCCGAATGAGTGAGTAGACAAAGCACATACGTCGAACCGCCCGGCTACCTACCTACATCTGTCTGTCTGTTTAAAATCTGTTTTTCCATTAATCAGCTGTCGCCCCCATACGAACGACAACTCTCAGAAGTTGAGAAACTTGTGCGAGCTAAGAACTAACGAGGTCTTACCTTTTAACGTGTGATTCCTTATGGCACCATGTTTTAACGACTTTATGTTTAACAATGATATTAATAATGTTACTTTATTTCCACAAAGTCAATATAAAATTGTATAGGAAACTGTCAAGAGCATTAAATAAAGATACTAAAAGTTAACTATAAAAATGTAAACATTTCTGTACCAATATATTCTGGCCCAGAATGAGTCCTTTTTAATTTCGCAATTAGCACATGGAACTCATTTTCGATTCCCGTATCGTGGTGATAATACTCTTATTTAATGTAAAATTGGACCTATTTTTGAACACATATACACAGATTTCAAATATATATACTGATGCTAGAGTTAAAATATATTTGTTTCAATACTGTCTACAAATTTTTTTAGAAAATATTTGCCACATATCGTACAATGCGCTTTTGTCAACGAATACATTTTGTGCTGAAGTTGACCCCCCCCAAAAACAAATACCGTACCTAATTCTAAGGTCTTTATGAGCTTATTAGATTATAATAACTGAGCTCTAGTCAATACCGAGCTTAAGTTGATAAAAAAACTTCAGGGAATTGAGTTTAGTCATCAGATGTTGGCAATGACTATTTCAAATCAGGAATTTAACCTCATAAATAACTAAAAACTTAACACTACTAACATCACTATTTAAATACATGTTATTTACATTGAACTGGATATTTTCAAATTTCTTTCTGGTGATTGTGTGTGAATCTGTCTGTTTAAAATCTGTTTTTCCGTTAATCAGCTGCCGCCCCCATACGAACGACAACTCTCAGAAGTTGAAAAACTTGTGCGAGCTAAGGACTAACGAGGTCTTACCTTTTAACGTGTGATTCCTAACACGGGAATGACTTGTGACATGAAAAATCATCAGCATAGGCTGGGTAACTACTTTCTTCGATTATAGAGTCAATGCTGTTTTAAATAGAGAATAAATAAAATAATAGGACCTAATGTGGGGCCCTGTGGTACACTAATTGATATATTTTTTTTCTGATTGATTCGGCCGTTACCTGATGAAGATCCATAGTAATTTCAAAAACTACACCTCAACGATTTGATCTCCACAAACTTTATTTGAAAAATATATCGCATGTTTCAAGTGATTTGACAAATCACTTGAAAAACCTAATGTCTTAGCGAAACATGTGATATATCAATGGGGATCAAATCGTTCAGGTGTAGTTTTTGAAACTAATTGATATGTTTCTACGTTCAGCGTCAAATTTGCAATGACACAAAATGATCCCGGTTTTGAAGAAATTGATTTATCCAACTGAGTGGAACGAACACCTCTTATACCAAAATATTCCAATTTTGAAGCCTGTTTTTCATGATCGTCACAGTTAAATGCATCACGCCTCAAATCACACAGTAGTACTGCCGAACAATCATCTGCGTCAATATATGTGATTATTCGATTTATTAATGAGAACATTGCTGTTTTTGACAAAATTCATGGTCCTCTAACCCCAAGATATGCTTTTTAGATTCAAATAAATGAAAGATTTTCTGAATATAAAACATCACAAAATGCTCTACAACGCCTTTGTCCAAACCTCAGAGTAATAATCTCTGAGGTCCAAACACAGCTCAACTGCGGCATCATAGTTGGTATCATGACAAACAATCACATGGAAAAGTTCTCTCTCTCTCTCTCTCTCTATTTTGGATGGTCGTTGCTTCCTATCGTGAGGCGCATTTGATCAATGCTCCTCCTGTTGCTTAACAGGAGGTTCGTCGGGGGGCGCAGCGGTCTTGCACGAAGCGATGTTGCCAGCCATTTTTTTCCAACTTCTTTTTATCATTATAAAAACAATTCTTGATTAATAAAAACAATTTGATTTTTATGGAGTCGCCTCCTGCTTGAGAGAGCTTTTGGTTTTTCTCATATATAGAGCCCCCTTTACGTGGTTTTCCGAACTACCCCAGCCTGGATACCGGCGTGAATAAAGGGGGCCCTTTATTCATCATTTTTTTCAATGACACTCACACATTTCCTTAATTAACATAATGGACTAGCACATCACATAAACGGAGTCCCATGATAGCACATGGCATCCGCGTACCTTCTTTGTGGACGGACGTTAACAGCACGTCCGTCCACTACCACGGCCACCACGAATCTCTACATGGAAAAGTTGAACACAATACACCGATAGATTACAGAATCATATTGGGCAAGCCAATAGCATTTAGAAAAAAACAGCTATATAACGAATCAGGTTTATTTGATGCCAGGCAATTTTTTTGTTTAGCTGATTTAAAAAAAATACCTACCAAATTTATGGCACATTGTATTTATTTGGCACCAAGACGAGGTATATTATTCACTTTCTGTTGAAATAAATAAATAATGTGATTCGAAATTTGTCAAAATGTGTCCATTAATATTTGACTGTTACCTATATGGTAACAGATTTACAGAACTAAATTATTTTCCAAAAGAAGTTTAACATTTAGACAAAATTGAACATTTAGACAAAATAGAAATTGATGATAAAATGAAAATTCATTTTATTTTTTGAACAGACAGGGGGCCCTCGAAATTAAATTATTATACTATTTTCATAAAAATTGTCAAACATAGAAACTTCTCTCTTTTATATTTGGAGTATCTAATCAAATTAAGGAAGATTTTAATGTTAATTGTTGATTAATTCTTCACAACTTTTGAAACTGAACTATTGTGCATATTTTATATAAACTGATGTGGGGAATTAGTTCTTGAATCATAAATATCAGTTTCAACGTATCAATAGAAGTGTTGACCAGCGATAATATTCCTTGAAATCGATTCTCTCTGGTTGTTATTAAACCCACACGATGATTATTGTGGAAAAATCCGTTTACGTAAAAATGAAACAGGAACTGAAAATATTTGGGTTTTTCTTCGAATATCCTTCACAATATTATCAAGAGGTTCAGAACATTTCGAAAACAGCGGCAATCTGACTCTTATCATTGATGATATTATTGGTTAATATCTTTAATGTGTATGTTTTTACTTTATTTAACGATTGCGTCAATCGCCCCTATTGGTTGAAAGTATCAGGGGAGGATGTGCCAAAGACGTCAAACAAAACTTCAATGATAAAGTTAGGTTAGGTTTCTAAAAATAACATGAAAATGAATTTAATAGAAGAAAAGAAATTAGAGATATCAAATAAGTTACAGAAGGTAAAAACTGAGTCATGACTTGAATGTATTCCCACTTATGTCTCAATGTTTTAAAGGAACAAGAGAATCTAAAACTGCTGCAAGAAAGACTGTCAAAAAGTGCCCAGTTGACTGTAGGAATAGGTTCAATTTTAGATACTTTCGAACAGAGGTTGTCTCGACTGGAAGACACTATTCTACCCGTATACAATAAGACAGAAAGTCTTCAGAAAGCCCAGCACAGTATCCTTTTGTACTTGGTATGACAGCAGTCATACTTTCTTCATCGTATCAAATAATTTTCTATGTTTATACAGATTGCTGGTCCTTTCTCTCTGAATCAGCATATATAATATACATTTATGATTTTAATTTGTAACTGTTGTACAGAATTAAAATGAGAGGGAATGGTTATTGTCCAAACTGATGTTAGGTATTGAAGATTATAATAAATTGAAGAAAAATTAATTATTTTCAAATATTCAAAATGAATAATATTATTTATTTTATAAAATATACCTACAAGAGGTGCAATTTTCTTTCCGAGTCGACTGCTATGTGAATTCCATGATAAATTCTGATCTAGATATAAGCCTAAAATTTTTACTTCTTTCTTAAATTCTATCGAATTGTCATTGAAATTAAGATAAAACGTTTTGTAATCTGAATTTATTTTGGATATAATTGTATAGCTTATGTCATATTGAATAAACAGCAATTCAGATTTTAACCTAAAAAACTACATGAGATGATATGTTTTGTTTTCTGAAAATATTGTATACTCACCTGACATTGAGGTATTTAGTGTTGCACTACTTTGTGATTTCTTGAAATCTTTTTATCGTTCAACTACGAAATATTGTTTCGACATCTTTAGTTAAATAGAATCGGAGGTCACAGCCTTAATTGCTTTGAGTCCATCCAATTTAGATTATCAGAACTGATACTGTTTTCAGTATTGGCCACATGAAAGACTGTCACACGAGGATCCGTACCTGCACTAATTTGGTTTCTTTTATATCATTATGACCTAATAAACGTGAAGATCGAAAACCACTCCAGGATATTCTTTATTATGCTATACTGTTGATGTAGCATAATGAGGTGTTGAATACATTATATTACGAAGTACTAGATAAAGCTGACTACGAATTTTTTCGACTCTGGTCTTAATGTGATCTGAGTAAAAAACTGTTTTAGGGTTTCTAAGCTAAATGTATCATATGAAACAAACTGGATACAAAAACTGCAAAAATAGTGTGCTACGTCTCATTTAAATCACTTGCAAGTTATGCAGCCTACAACAGACAACTATTCAGCTCATCTTTTCTCTTCAAATAGAGGTATTCAAATAGTGCAGAGTTCTGTCTCTCCTATTTTCTCAAGCCTGAAACTCTATGCCTGCGTTACAAAAATTAATTAATTATTTTTTTCTCATTGATTCGGCTGTTACTTGATGAAGATCCATAGTAATTTCAAAAACTACACCTCACGATTTGATCTCCACAAACTTTGTTTGAAAAATGTAATCTTGGTTTGGCCTGTTGAAATAAGTACTTGACATCAGCTTTTATCCCGGCTATTCTTATAAAAAATCAGCTAATTTATAATTCACCTGATATTAAAAATATTGTCTCACCTCTCCTCTAGACGAGGCACTCTATTATATTTAACTATTATAACTAATCTAATAACATTTACACGATAAGTTGTGTTTTAGAAAATCAGCACAATATATGCAGACTTCTCAAATGTCTTCGACAAGTTGGACTAAACACTTATTTCAAAACTCAATGAAATTGGATTTGTTCCTATATTACAAATAAGTCCCAGTTTGTTGAATACAGGGGACACAAAGGAAACAGGGGACACAAATCTCCCTGTTGATCATTCATGCGGATTTGTCAAAAACCGCATGGGAGCTCACGCCCAGTTCTTCCGCCACTCACCGTTTGTGATGGGTTGGTTTCCACCAGGGTCCTCAAATCCTGGGCCTGGGTTACTGAAGATTGACCACTTTGAGGCTCATATTTGAAGCCAAAATCTCCGGAAAGAAATTTTGTAAACAAATGTCGAACAGTGCATTCATTAGCACTATCATTGCCAAATGCCTGGTTGATTTTTTTGTCTGTTTCGGCAACGATTTGGTTCAATTTGAATTTGTACAGAAAAATTGGACAAAAATCGCTCAACATCATATAATAACAAGAAAATTTAGAAAAAAATTAACATAATCAATGTATAGAGTACACAATTTTCTATTGATCAATTGGGTTAGGTTATTATTATTGTTTAATTTTAGGAGGGCATCCTTTCCATTCTCAGTGCTTGGTGTTGGATAATTTTGCATCTATGAACAATTTTCACTGATTTACTTTATTTTGGTCCTATAAACACATAATGCAATATATTTCTAGTCTGTGTTTTCCTGAACGGTTATAAAGATATCGATCGTACTTTGCATTTACTGGATAATGTTATAAGCCACTATGAGGTGTCAGGAGATGTTGAACACATTATCGAAAAGAATCCTGGAGATGGAGGTATTGATCTTCAAACTTATCTGGATGCCCTGAATAGATTAGCTGGTGCCCAGAAATATTTTGAAAAAAACATTCCACAAAGTGTAGAACTTATCAATGTTGTAAGTGTTTTTTTTCGTCCTTGAGCATTTAAGCTTTGAAATTGTTTTAAAAAAATACCATATTTTCTATATGATACCAACATAAAAATTTTAGGGAAAGATTTTGGCTTTCTACTTCTCCATCTATTCTTGTCTTCGCTGACAGTACGTAATGACATTCGTTCGTTTATTTGAATCAATCCCAGCCATAGGAATCTTGAAAGGGGTATATATTGAAAAATAATTATCTCCTAAAAATATATTCCTTTAATTAAATCAAATAAGCGAATGAATGATATTATGTATCGACTGTCATCGATGACATGAGTGGATTCAACTCATTGAAGCAATAAGGCAAGTGTCTTATTCTGAAACATCGGATGTCAGCCATTGAGGATGACAGTGTTCCATGTAAGTGAAATTTCATCTCTTTCATATACTATAGTGTGTAGCAAAGAAAGTTCCTGTAAATGGTGAATGGTATCAGATTTAATTTTATAATGATTGTTTGGAGTACAAACTGAATAATAATAAGTGGTTTTCATATAATTCAAAGTTCATATGAAAGTAGTTGTTTCAAGAGGGCTTTATCTTCCAGTTTGTGCCTGGAAGTTACTTTTTTGCGTAATCTACACATCTCTGTAAAGAGTTTATTTTGAAGTCAACTGCTTTTTCATTTCTTTGGAAGATTCCCACAATTTTTTTGGATAATGATGGAGAAGTAGCAAGCCAAAACCTTTCTTTCTCAAAAATCAATCTCTTCCTTAAATAAACCCCTTTCAATTCATAATAATTTCACTTACGAAAAGAAGATTTATTGATGTGTATACGATTTTTGTAGTTTGATAAGTAGAATTCGAAACCTCTGGTGTAAAATGAATCTATCGAACATACTTTTCTTATAGCAGAACAAAAATACTGCCTGTCGATCGCGTTTCGTTTACCAAGTAAGTATCATCAGACTTATGTTACCTTCTGATGATGCTGACTTGGTTAGCGAAATGCGCGTCGAACCACAGTATTTTTGTTCTGCTGTGGGAACACTGTAATCAACAGAATTTTTGCAGTGTTTGTGATTTTTTTCACATCATCAATAATGTGGTCTTCTTTTCCAATTAAGATCTTCAAATTGCTATGGTTATTGTTGTGCATTATAAAACAATAATTACATGATTACATTAATTCAGACACCTTTCAAATGACTTTGAGAGAAGGGTAAATGCTAATAATCTCAAACCAAATTTGTTTAATGATGAGATATTTCAACCTCACCTAGAAATGTTTTTTTAATCCCATTATCTGATTTGATAGTCATGCAATTACTCTCTGATAATTTTAAAAAAATGTCTGGAAACTAATTACATACTGTATACTCATATCCTCCATCAATTAAGCTAAAAACTGATCTACGAGAACAATTTCCACACCGAGAACTAGGAACAAACAAATAATTAGTTACACATTAGGAATAATTGGTTATAAAAAATCAGTATAATGAGATTTTGATAAATATGTATATGATAAATATGAACAAAATTAGGCAAAAGAAATAAAAACCTAAATGTACATGTAGTGATAAAATAATTGGAAATACTGTGAACGAGGCTGTTCAAAAATTGAGGTAAATATTCAAATTTCGCGGGCTACGTACCTACATTCGATTAGCGATAATTTTTTTATGTTGGTACACTCGTCTCGAACGTATGTTCACAGTTTCAGTTATTTAGCATGTTTAGTTTGTTGGTGAGAAGCATTAAAGTTAATAGTGTTTTGCGTGTTCGGCCATTTTTTTTATCGAAAAAAAATTGATGAAATAATTTTCATAAAATTTTGTGTGAAAATGGTAAAAAGTGCTCAAAAACACTTGAAATGTTAACAGTGGCATACGGTGATTGTACTCTGAGTCAGGAAAATGATTGTACTCTGAGTCTAGAACAAGGGTGGCAACCCGCATATAAAAATTAATACTAAAATTACCTTATCATACAAACACTTCTTCTCTTTTACGTTTAAAATCAACACATGCTTTAGCAACATAAAGTGGGGCTGACTTTAAAATAACGTACTGAGAGTCCGCTAGCCGCGCAAACTTACCTACTTTTTGCGGTGAGGACGCGGCTGCCGGCGGGCGGCATGCCGCCACCCGCCCCCGAGCACGTCGCTAGCGTTCGGTCAGTTTAGTTCATGGTAAGCTCGCAACGCATACAATACGTGTCAACGAGTGTATTAGGTATTAGTGTGGTGCGCATTTGATCGCGATCTATTGTAATTGTTTATCCCAACTGTAAGATAACTCTGCGCATGACTGGGGTGTTTTCTTTGCTAGTTAGAGTACATTTTTTTGTTCTAAACTCTAAAAGTTAGTATCCGATTTTGACTGTGCGCAGACTTATCTGGCGCGCACTATACATAAAATTTGGTAGTGCGGCCCAGGGTAAAATTCTACTTCCGAATTTTGGCCCAACTGTTGAAAAGGTTGGCCACCCTTGCTAGAAGATGTGAATGACGACGACCGCCCTGGACGCCTCAGGCCTCAGTCACAGATTGTGTTGAAGTCGCTAGATTCGAAGATGCATGGCTTACGTGAAAAGACGAGACCTGTCAGACCTGCGATAGACTGTGACTTCCCCTCCACCGACAGAGGCGTGCACAATTTGATTAATTGGACGATGATAAAAACAAAAATATATGTGAAATTTCATATATTTTTACGTCCATGTATGTGACCATTATTATCTGTTTAAATCTGTTTTTTCGTTAATCAGCTGCCGCCCCCATACGAACGACAACTCTCAGAAGTTGAGAAACTTGTGCGAGCGGGAATCGAACACACGACCTTCCGATCGTGAGTCGGATGCACTACCACCGCGACCAATTCCACAACGGTAACAATAACAGCATCACAACACTCTTTTTTTATATTCCTGAATGCTTACAACCATCCACCCACTGACATAAAAACTCAGGAAGTCAAAATAAAAAAAAAACTTTTGCTAGTTGACTGGGATTTGTCATTCAAATGAATTAGTTAAAACAGAAAAAAATGAGCAGAAATGAGTTAGCAATGAATATAAAAAGTTATCACCCACAACAATCGAAATGTAAACGGTAACAATAACAGCATCACAACACTCTTAAGATCTATTAATCACTTCAATTTCAGGTCACAATGATTTATATGCGTTACATAACTACGTCCTTAAAATGTTTGAAGTTTTATACTCATTTTTGATCAATGTTGCCTGTTCTAACTAATTCATTTGAATATTCTTAAGTATTTTCAGTAATTTTAACATTACACTTATTTTTGATTAATTTGTTCTTCCATAAATTTCAAATTTGTTAATACGTTATTTAGACAATGGAAGTCTGAATTCGAAACATTCATGTATTGATCATTTTTATAACGAGCTAACACATTTATTTTTTCAGTCATCGTTTTTTAATAAAGGCAGCGACAAACTAAATGCAGAATTCAAAACTATTTTGGATAAGTACAATACTCCAATATTACCAGTGGTTCTCCTGGATCTAATTAATTTCGATGGTAAGTTGACATATCCCACCTCATTTCAAATAAATTTAAACTTAAGAATCACACTAAAATATTTTGTTGTATAATTTTTTGTCCAGATCCTTCCAACAAAGAAATTAAGGTTATACCCAAACAGATTCCAGACGAACCAAAGTCACATCTCGTTCAATTAGCATCTTGGTTGCTGGACCATGGAAGAGATGAATATTTGACAGTTTACGGTAAAGTCAGAGGAAGTGTCCTACAGAGGTCTCTCACTATGTTGAGAAATCATCAAAAATCGGTTAGTGGTGGGAGTGTTCATGGAACCACTAGTTCTCCAATGCTGGTAAGGATTAGTTTAATTTTAACGATAGTCTCAATTTCAAACAAAAATAACTTCAAAAGGGGATTTCACTTTCCTAGTTTCGATATAGATCTTATAAAACAGTTTGACCAAGACAGAAAATCATTAGATTATAAAAAGAAACCAAGAAAGTGATTCAAATTTGTGTAGAAACTGACCTTTCTTTTAATCGTAATTCAAACGTGATATCTCAACTTTGCACTTGAAATATCATTCAGAATCCTATTTATTGTCGACCAGTTAACAAATAATAATAATAATAAGTAATTTGAACATTTTTGTACAAGATAAGTACATATGGAAAGTCAAAAAAACACATAAATAGAGAATTAGAAATAAACAAATGGTATTATAGTCATAAACATGAAACTCAGAATGATAAAAACTATAGACTAGGTTAGGTTAGGTCCAAAGTAAGTGGGTCTATTCGACCCTCTACCGCAACCCGCCAAAGATTTATTGTGGCTCACATTTATTCACACTCGACCAAATAATACCAGCTTCTCAACGAAGCCGATTAGTTTGTATGGTGAGTGGTCTTTCAGGTCAGATCTTAAGAGTACGGCTCTGCTGAACTCTAAAAACCTGATTCGGTTCCCAGCGGGGCAACACAAAGTATGTGCTCTGCTATCTCATAATTTTCCAAACAGAGGCGACACAAACTGTCTTCCGACAGTCCGAGTCTCTGCAAATGATGATTCAAATGACAGTGACCTTTAAGAACGCCTGTTAGACATCATAGTTCATCCCTACTGTAGCCCAACATCTGTTTGAAGGGTGAATAAATGCCTTAGAGTGAGCCAATCCTGGAATATTTTGCCAGAAGTCCATAAATCTTCTTGCCATCCAGGTGTTCAATCTTTGTTTGGCAAAGCCTAAAGCGATGCCAATGACAGGTTCTGGTCCGATAAAGCTGTTTACAGCACCCTCCTTTGGTCTCATTGCCTTCCAGGCCAGTATGGCCAGGAATCCAGACTAGAGACAATCTGTTAAGTCTTCCTATCGAGGAGAGTCGTTTTTGGCAATTTGCTCGATGGGAGCCAAGAGCTTCCAACGCCGCTTTACTGTCCAAGAATATTTTTATTGACTAAATTATAGAGTAAATTTCCTAAGCAGGTTGATATCTCTGTCCTGGGTCTGCGACTGAAAACACCTGCATCAGAACTGAAAGGTGTTTTTGATCCATCTGTGAACAACAACAGTCTGTTGAACTGTGCATTAAATTGATTTGTGCAAATGGCAATGTGCACAAGTCTATATGCAGCCCATCTAGCCTCTCTCTCCAGAAAAATGTGGAGAGGAGGTAGATCTAGGAGGATCTCCACGGCCGCTGACGGTGTGGTACTGATGTTACTACTGATGGCCAGACAAGCATGTCTCCGAAAGCCAAAGAGATTGGCCATGCAGCCCATCTAGCCTCTCTCTCCAGAAAAATGTGGAGAGGAGGTAGATCTAGGAGGATCTCCACGGCCGCTGACGGTGTGGTACTGATGTTACTACTGATGGCCAGACAAGCATGTCTCCGAAAGCCAAAGAGATTGGCCATGCAGNTATTCTTGGTAGCTATTTTTTCAGCTAGCATTTTTCAATCAGGAAAGATTAGGACAATTTACAAAACATATCATGCGGATCAAATCACTTGATCGAAATTGGCAGTTTATTGTATAAGGTTGTTTCGAAAGTTTTGTCCGTTTAAATGTCATGTGTTTAGTAGCTCCATATCAGTAAATATTTATTCTACTGTATCATGGTATATACTGATCGATACAGAATTTTCAGCTTATTACTATATGATGTCGTAAGCGATTTTTGGCCAACTTTTCTCTACACTTTTCGAAAACTCTTCTTTGCTATTGCGCAACCAAAAACGATCCTTTTTTGGATCGCATCGTCACGTGTGATGAAAAGTGGATCTTCTACGACAGCAAGAGATAGCAGAGAGTCGTATTCCTAAATCTTCATGCGTAATTTTGAAACCGGCAACGCTTCATCGCCCCATAAACAACGATTTATTTTACAACCGACAACACCGAACCTGTCATGCTTGCGCTAGCGACGTAACACCTCGATACCATCTCCATCTCTCTCTGCATCAATAACGTCACACGTGTCTCTCTCACTCTTACACACAAACACACCTCGTATGAAACATCAATTCTTCCCCAAATCTATGGATATTTCTTTGTCTTCTACATTTAAATGACGTTAAAATTTTTCTAAAATTCTACGGAAATCAAAAAATGCAGTCAAGTATAACAAGTTAGTTAATTTCGGTTCCGATCGCTTTCTTTATATTTAATTTCCCTCAGCTGCCAATAACCACGTGACTGGTACGTGACGATGGGGCCTGAGGGGTGAAGCATAGTCCCAAAGGGATCCACGCTATTTGAATCCTTCCGATACTCATTTCATCCTTCTCTGCATCGATTGCGTCACTCTTCCACTTACTAAAGTCTCTCCCTGAAACACCTACCTCGACTGATTTGGATTTCTCGCTGTACTCGCGGTAGCTTCTGATTGGTCGACTATATGACGGCAAAAGTGAAGGAGTGGAGGTGTTCTGAAGTGGACAGCAAGACATTCTGAAACTGAGCCAAACCATCACAGCAGAGTCCTATTGTGAGAAAAATTACGAAATGTACTGAAAATTGCGTCAGCACCAGCCGGGACAGGTCAAAAGAAGAGATCCGATCCTGCTCCACGATAAAGCCTGTCTGTCCGAAAATTAAACGAATTGAACGTTTGAAGTTCTACCTCACCCACCATTCTCCTCAGACCTCTCACCAACTGAGTACCATTTTTTCCAGCACTTCGATAATTTTCTCATCGGTAGAACCTTCACCAATCAGGACCAGGCAAAAAACGGCCTTCGTCGATTTCATCGAATCCCGAGCATACAATTTTTATGCTGACGGAATTAAACGACTTGTGTAACGTTGGCAAAACTGCACTGATTCAAATGACGCTTATTTCGATTCAAATGAATTGAAGTATTTACTGAGATATTACAGCTCAAAGTAGACTCATAAAAACGGTCAAAACTTTTGAAACATCCTTATAGTTGTTTCTTTTGTTGTGTGGTGAAAAAAAACTAGATAATCTAGTTATCTCCACACATAATTTTTATTTATATTTGTTCATTTTCAACTTCCTTGGTACTTCATTTCAGAAACCTAAATTTGGTAATAGACATGATGCTTCAAGACGTCCTTCAACAAGAAGAATACATCAAGTCTTTGAAAGGAAAGCAAATAAGATGTTCCTAAAGGCTTCTCAAACACTGGAAAATTCCACTGGACTTTCTCTTGGTACGAGAAGAGCCTCACACTTGGGTAAGCGAGTATATTGTCCCGTTCAAAGGTACACGTGAAGGCCTATTGAATTTTCTATTAATTTTTCCAACAGACTAGAAATGTAGAATATTTTTTCAGATACCTCTTACACTGGGGAAGAACTAGATAATGAACAAGAAATGGAAAATTATTTAATGTCTGTGATAGCCCTACATAGATTGATGCAGTTTGAACAGATACTTATGAAAGATATCATAACGCCAGCTCACCAACCGAGAGTTTTTGAATTGATTGTTAGGGAAGCGATGGACACCATTGTTCAGGACGGAGAGGTAATTATAATATAAGTGAATAGTACTAGTGATATAACTCAATAGTAAAAAGGAAGTTTTTTCATATTGGGGAAAGGAATCGATTTCTAAATAAAATCAGTTTTCTAATCAGATTACGTTTTGCCAAATTATCTTTCAGAAAAGTGACTGAATTTTCATGCGAAGAATTATTAAATTAGCTGTTCCAGGACGTAAACTGTTCAACTCTTAACATTAAAATTAGAACATTAGTCAATATCAACTACAGAGATGAACGAAATTCATTCATTACATTAAAAATTACTAACCTTTCCTTCTCTCTGTATCATGGAAAATTTAATATACTTGAAAAATAATCTATCTAAATGTGAAAGTTTTGAAAATGTGCACGACTACAACACTAGGCATAAAAATGATTTGAGTACAAACTACTGCCACTCAAAAAGATGTCAGAATGGACCAAATTTTTGGGCTGTGAAACTTTACAATAAATTACCACAAAAAAAAGATTTCTCTACCGAATAACATATTCAAAATGAGGATAAACTATTTTTTAATAAAAAAACGCCTTCTCCAGCACCGAAGAATTCCTGCACTGTGATATAGGTTCTTTAACCATTTTGACATTTGTCGTTTGTTGTTTTTAAATGTGCTTGTCGACATAACTCAGATGTACTTATAAGATATAAATGGTTTTTTATAAAAAAGCTTTGTCTTTAAATTGTAAGCATCTATTGTTTATGTAAATATTAATAGATGCCTGACACACGCTAATTTTATTAATATGTATGTATTGACCTGTGTAGATACTGATGAATGTATAAAACACCAATACATTATCTATTTATAATTTTTTTCCATCTATAATGACAATTTTTAAACCGCTATCATAAATTTGTGCTAATATGTGTTAATATAGAACATGTGTTTATTGCAGAATATAATTTCCAGAGCTAAAAAGTGTATTGCAAGGCATGACTTTGCTACAGTTTTGGTTATCTTTCCAATCTTCAAACAGTTGCGGAATTTGAAACCAGAATTTGAGAGAACTGTGGAAGATTATGACTTGAACGTGAAACAAAAATTTGACCAAATAATACAGATGCTACACACCACTGTAAGTATAAACAAGAAATCAAAGATACATTGAAAAAGTATAATTTATAATGAGTTGAAGGTTCCTCATTATAATTTTATTTTTCTGTTCAGATGTTTCATTTTGTATTTGTAAACTCAGACATTGCTAATTAAGTAGCTATTAATGTCTGGATTGGATGAGTTGTCAATAGAAACAATAAAAAAAATAATCGATGTCGTGATTACCCCTTTGACTTATTTATTTAATCAGTCTTTTTTGCAAGGATACTTTCCCGAAGAATTCAAAAAGGCATTAGTAATACCTCTTTTCAAAAAAGGCGATCGCTCGGTAGTAGAAAATTATAGGCAAATCTCTTTGCTCTGCTCACTGTCTAAATTATTTGAAAAAATAGTCGCAAATAGGATTACGCATTATTTGGCAGAANTTATTGAAATTATCTAGCAAGTGAAAACTTTATATCTGATGAAAATTTGTAAATTAGTAAATCAAAAGATGCAAACTCAGTACCTGCAAAAGCTGTATTGCCTATAATAGAAAAATTAATTTTTTTCAAAATATTGTGAAGTTTTTCATGTTCAGCTCTTCCTAACGTTTTTGAAAAGATGGGAAGCATTGAAATAATAATAATAATAATCAGTCTTACTATTATAAATTAAAAAAAAATTGTTAGAACTATGGCTAAGGCTGAACAAAGGGAACATGCCAAACCATTGTTCATCAATATACAAATTTTAACACTTCCATGTATATATATCACAGAAGCCATCTTGTAGATACACAAAAACAACATACGGGAAGTAAAATTCACAAGTACAATGCCTTCAACACAGAATTATATAGACTACCTTATATAGACAATGAAGCAGACTGACTATCTGCCAATTAAACTATATAACCTTATACCGGTGGATTGGAAGACATTCATTACAAAAAAATGTAAACACTATTTTGAAAAAATATCACTTCTTGTAAATCCACTTTATAATATTGAAGATGTTTTCTCCCATATATGGACTTAATATTTAGTACTGTCTATTTAACGTACTACCTTACACAAAGCCTAGTTTCTAGGATTATCTCATTTTTACAGAATTCTTTACTTCTATTTCTTCATAGCTTTACAAATTTTATACATTATTATATTACTAGGTACACCCCAGTCTTGACGTACCTACACAATTATGTTGGGAATTTATCTCATAAACATTTTTGTTATTTTTAAAGGTCAGTAAATATCGTATCTTATCATTCGTGCTTGAAGGCCGTCGTAATTTGGAACTGCGTCCTAACGTTTCCCCTGCACGAGTGGCTGGCTTTTCCAGAGGTTTATTCATCTTGATCATTCACCGAGTTATCAGTGAATCATCTAGGTGAATGAACATCTGAAGAAGCCAACCACTCGTGCTGGCGGAATAAAATTGGTTTTGTTGTAAGTACAGGCCATTTTTTACTTCATATAATACCACTAAAATAATGGGTTATTTGGAATAGGATATTTCTCTCTGTTCATGGTTCTTATGCTACACTTTGCTGTTTCATGCAAAAGTTTAGTGTCATGTACCGATCTATCTCACCATGTTTATATAATGTTCATTGAGGCGTGTTGTGTTGTATTGTGCGACACTAGATATGTCCTGCATGTTCTTTGAAACGAGTTTTGATAGTTCTTTCAATGTAACCAATATACTTTTGTGGGAGCAGTGTTTTCCCTAGATTAATTTCACGTCAGAGGTTCCAATTCTATCTATCAAGTTAGGATTTCATGCTTCTGAAAGTTTTTATTAGGCCATAATTAGTTTTTTTAAGAAATTGAATACTTTTTCTGGGGCGTATGGGGCAAACTTCTATTTCGTTTAAATTTGACAAAAATACTTCAAACTTCTTTTTTAGCTTCTACTTTGAAACTTCCTGTCAAACACAAAAACGACCCTAAGATTGATTTTTCAATGTTACTTTAGAAATTTCGATTTTATTTTGTTTGTAAATGATTTTACATCTTATTTTTGATACCATTATATTTGTTTGAAGGTGGTTGACAATGTTTCGTGGTGCATTTCATCAGTTCGGACTTCCATTGTTTAATATGATATAAATTGATCTGAAGTCCTTGAAAGAATCTGTAAAACTAATATTAGACAATGGAAGTCCGAACTGATGAAATGCACCATTATATTTGTCGGTAAGATTTGTCTTTATCGTTCAGCTTTTTCTCTTATCTCTATATCGATCATAAAGGAATTCAAATTGTTGATTAGGTGTAACAAGAACTTCAAGATTATACAGATGTCTGCTTAAGGCTTAAGTTCGCACTATATAGAAAACTTTTTTATTATTGATTTTACTAAAAAATCCGCATAAAAAATTCTGCATGACCTTAAACCTAAAATGCATCCATTAGATATAACATTTTTCAGTCGTATACAAGGTTTGTCACAAAATATTAATTTTGCCCAACAGTGAANAATGATGCAACTAATTTTCCTTTATTTTCAGTATTTCAATATTAAATGTAAGTCACAAAAAGGATTTGAAGCTTTATAACTTCTATTTAATTATCTGCAAGCGCTTTCGACAGCTGGTCGTACTTTCATCATCTAGGCTCTACTATAAAAGGACATACAATAGGATGACATGTTCAGTTTACAAAAAGGATTGGAAGCTTTATATCTTCTATTAATTATCTGCGAGCGCTTTCGACAGCTGGTCGTACTGTCATCTTCTAGGCACTCCTCAAACTGAACTTGTCTGCCTCTTTATACGGTCAGAACGTCTCAACTCAGGTATTTCAGGTACTTCAGGTAAATTTGCCTGTATTTGTACTGCATTAGGTACTCTTTTTTGTGTTACATCTTCTCTAGGAATGTGTATGGTTTTGTTCAATATATTGAATGTGAGATCTTGTTGTGTTTTGATTTGTACTTGTTCCTCGATAAGTGATTTATGACTGTTGAATTTATGGATGTTCAAGTTTTCCCAAATGTCCATGCGGTTTCATGAGTTTTATGTTCTCTGGTGGGGGGAAATTATGTTTGTTTTGTATGGAGTGTGTTGCGAGGTTTGATTCATATACTATTGGATTTATGTATGCCTTTTTGTGCTCATTGTACCTTTGGATCAGTTTTTTCTTGGTTTGTCCGATATAGAATTTGTTGCAGTCCAAGCATTGTATACTGAATAGCCCGTTTTGGTCTTTGTCGTCTTCTTTTTCATAGTTGTTGATTTTTTGTGTTATCTTCGTGTTTGGCTTGTATGTGATGTTGTTGTTCAGTGGTTTGAAGACGTTTGTTAGTTTTTTGGTTTGGTGTCCTACGTACGTAAATGCTGTCCATCGTTGTGTTGTTTTGTCTGTTGGGGTAGTTTGATCCTTGTTCTGTATTTTTTGTTCAATTCTGTTTTCTAGTTTATCTATTGTCTTTTGGGTGTATCCGTTTTCGTTCGCTATTTGGTATATGACTTTCCGTCATATACCAAATAGGCTTTGGGTTTGACTCCATTATCAAGTATAAAACTTGAAACCTGTCGTATAAATAAAATCTACCAGTGGTATTTAGACAAAAGTGTTTTTATTCATTTCATTTTAAGTGATCATGAATTACCATAAAGTAAACAAGTCATCAATCAAACAAACTATTAATGTTATATTATATGTATTTGATACAACAAATTGAATACAGTGTATTAAAGTTGTTTCACCAGCATCCGATAAAGTACACATACCAGTGAATAATGTCAAAATCAGGAATATTATCATCAGATAAATATGACAGATATGTAACGGTAGAAAAGTAAAAAATCGGATAACTTTGTTTCTAAGTGTCATCAATTATGTGACTAGAGCTTGGGAATTTTCTACTTCAAAATATGTTCTTGAACGTCAAACTTAATCCTCAAATTGATGTTTCGTTTCAAATAAAATATTTTCTAACAAAAAACATGAATAAAAACGTGAACTCAGAAATTTGTAATGTGGAAAAAAACTGATACTTTTCAAAAGTTTGTCGTTCGTCGGTCCTGAGTGCAATTCTCACTAACGGTGGGTTTTTCAGTTAAAAGTTATGCACATTTACAAAGTTTGTTTTTAGTTTTATAATTATTCATTAAAGATTTTTCCCGCCTTTTTTCAGGGATCTAAAGCTCTAGAAGACTTCATCGATAGCATTCGTTCAGATTCAGTTACTCAATTACCAAGTGATGGTACCGTACATGAGATGACCAGCAATGTCATCATGTTCCTGGAACAATTATTAGATTATACGGACACAATTGGTATCGTTTTAGAACAAGATCAAAATTATATGAGGCAGCTTAGTAAATTGAAATACAGCGATCGTAGTAAAGCTTTACTAGGTCTTTATATCAGTGAGTTGAATGCCTTCATTCCATTACAGTTTTTTGTAAAATACTCGTTTTGATTTTCAGAAAAGGTTTTGGTCCAGCTGAATCATACACTGATCAGTAAGAGCGAACAGTATGGAGACACCGCTCTTAAGGCATTGTTTAGATTAAATAACAATAATTACGTCTTGAAATCACTTCAAAGGAGTAGTTTGATGGATTTATACTTGATATCTGAACCCAATTGTCAAGACTATTATTATACTTCAATCCAGGAGAATAAAAAGGCATATTCTCAAAGGTAACTTTCCCTGTTTCAAATATCAATCACCCCAAGTTCTTTTGAATCAGCAAATATGTTTTGATTCCATTAAATTTTTGAAACAAGAACAGTTGAGTCCAGCTTTTCAACTTATAAAAGGGAAATCCCCAATGAAGTTTACAAAACTGAAAATGAAAATACCACGAAAAAAGAAAAATTTTTACTCAAAATTATTACTCAAGATTTAAATGGCTTTTGAACGAGTTTATATTGATGGAATAAAATTGAGTACATATTACCTAGTTGGAAACTAGAGCCCAAACACAAAGCATTTATGATTCAAAACCTGACATTGTGTTTGGACCCGCCATAGGTCTCATCAGTGTTGCTAGGCTGAACTACAAATGCCTTGCTTTGCTTTGCTTGCTTGATAACTTTCATTCATTATTAGGGTTAGTAATTTACAATGTTTTTTGAATATTTGTTGGGACCCTGCTATAGGCTTATGCCTCTTCAGGGTTCAAATGCCTTGCTGGATTCAACTGTTCTTAAACGATAATCCTGAGTAGGTGAGGTCGACGATATCTTCCCTTACGAAGACACCATCTTTGGGAATGACAGAGAACTTGATCCTCGGATATCAAAGATAAACGAGGCTTCCAAGACGACCAGTCATAGTCAACCTTTGATTTTGTTTGAGGAATATGTATTTTGTATATTCATAAGTTTGATAGATGAATATGACGTGATTTTCAAATTACAAACTGTCATCGACCAATAATCCTTAGTTTTTGGCAACCTTATCCAGTTTTGTTTAGAGTTCATCAATTCAACATTCAATGTATTATTCAAGTTATCCCTTGCAAATATATTAGCTCGAATTAATTATTATCGAGCAGTGATATATATTGAAATTTTCACAAATGAATCTATCAGGTTATTTCAAAAGTTTTGTCTGCTTGAATGTCATGTAATTTTGTAGTTCCATATTACAATAAATATTTATTCTACTGTGTTTTGGAATATACTGATGCTTGAAAATTTTAATTTTTTGCCTATTTCAGCTTATTACTATACGATGTCGTTAAGCGATTTTCAACCAGTTTTTCTCTACGAATTCAAATTAAATCAATGCGCTGCCGAAACAGCCCGAAAAATTAACAAGGCATTTGGCAATAATAGTGTTAATGATCGTAGGAAATTTCTTTCCGGAGACTTTAGCTTCGAAGATGAGTCCTGAAGTGGTCGACCTATAGTAATCCAGGATGAGAATTTGAGGATCCTTTTGGAGACTGACCCATCAAAAATTGTGTGTGAGATGGCGGAAGAACTGGGCGTCAGCTCTCATGCGGTTTTTGATGTTTCAAAACCTATTGGAAAAGTCAAAAAATCGAGCGTGTGGGTGCCCCACGATTTGAACGATCGACAGAAATTTTCATGTCTCAAGGTCTGTTCTTTGCTTTTGTGCAACCAAAACAACCCTTTTTTGGATCAGATTGTCACGAGTGATGAAAAGTTGATCCTCTAAGACTCTATGACAACAGGAGGCGTTCAGGACACTGATGAGCCAACTAGGTATTTCCCAAAGGCGAAAACCCACAAAAAAAGATCATACTAACTGTATGGTAGTCAGCAGCAGCCGGCAATGGTCAACGGAAGAGGTCCGATCCTGTTCCACGACAACGCCCGTCCGCATGTTTCACAAATCACTGTCCTAAAATTAAACGAATTGAGTTCTGCCTCACCCACCATACTTTCCAGACCTCTCGCCAACAGACTACAATCTTTTTAAGCACTTCGATAACTTCCTCACCCGTGGAACTGATTCAAATGGTCCTTATTCTGATTAAATTGAATTAGTTTTCACTGAGACATTTCAGTTTAAAGTAGACAAACGAACAAAACTTTTGAAACAACATGCGGTTTTTGATGTTTCAAAACCTATTGGAAAAGTCAAAAAATCGAGCGTGGGTGCCCCACGATTTGAACGATAGACAGAAATTGTCATGTCTCAAGGTCTGTTCTTTGCTTTTGTGCAATCAAAAAGACCCTTTTTTGGATCAGATTGTCACGTGTGATGAAAAGTAGATCCTCTAAGACTCTATGACAACAGGAGGCGTTCAGGATACTGATGAGCCACCTAGGTATTTCCCAAAGGCGAAAACCTACAAAAAAAAGATCATACTAACTGTATGGTAGTCAGCAGCAGCCGGCAATGGTCAACGGGAGAGGTCCGATCCTGCTCCACGACAACGCCCGTCCGCATGTTTCACAAATCACTGTCCGAAAATTAAACGAATTGAGTTCTGCCTCAACCACCATACTTTCCAGACCTCTCGCCAACAGACTACAATCTTTTTAAGCACTTCGATAACTTCCTCACCGGTGGAACTTTCGCCAATCAGGACTAGGCAAAACGGCCTTTGTCGATCGTATCGAATCTCGAGCAGCCAATTTTTATGCTAACTTGTGTTGCAATGGCTTGTGTTAATTTGGAAAAAGTGCACTGATTCAAATGGTGCTTATTCCGATTAAATTGAATTAGTATTCACTGAGATATTTCAGTTTAAAGTAGACAAACGGACAAAACTTTTGAAACAATTTGTGAAGCAAAAAATTGTGACCTCAGTATGTCTTTTTATTTTGGAAACAGTGTGTCTTATCCACAAAAATATAAAAGTCAATTTAATACCACCTCAACTTATAGTACACGTCAGTCTTACTTCATTTACCTTCCAACACCCACTCTAGCCCTTACACAAAATTCTATTATTGTTAATAGCAAGAAGTTATTTAACTACCTTCCCATTAATTTAAGGCGAATATATAATGAAAAGAAATTCAGAAAGAAAGTAAAAGAATTCCTTGTTGGGAGGCCCTATCATAGTGTGGACGAATTCTACCAAGGCTCTATCGAGTAATTGGCATGTAGCTATGTGTAAACAAGTTATTGAAATCAATACGAAATGGCTATCGAATGTTTATTACATAGCATTATATATTTACATTTACTCGATATTCATATATTCATGTACTTATATTTGTATCTGCTCAGCTGGGTTTAATATTGTTCTGTCCATATACGCTGCTCTTGTCTCTAAGCATTATTTTATAGCTTACAATTGTTGATTTAATGTCCCATATACACGTTTAACTTAAGAATAAGATGTTCAGATATTGGGTAATGAAGCATATTTTGATTTGAATCTAATAGTTCATCATTAATCTGGCAATCATTTCGTTCTTGGCATCGTTATTCATTACAATCGAAAACGATTCTGTGCGTCCTTCACGGGATTCATTACAGACGGACCTACGACCAAGACGAATTCTACAAAGTAGCCTTTTCTAATGGTTTTATCACCCATCGAAAACAAGTGATTTCCAATTTTTTTTTTCATACTTGCTTTCTTTAAACATTCACTGTCAACTAAATATAGAAATCGCAGTGAAAAAGCAATTGATGAAATTTATAAGGATATATAATTTTTTGATTAAAGAACAATCTGGATTTAGGGAATCCCATTCATGTGAAACTGCACTGCAATTTCTAATCTCTTCGTGGAAAGTTGAGCTATCTAAAAAACGAATTATAGATGTTGTCTTTCTGGATTTCAAAAGGGCATTCGAGACGGTCAATATTGAGTTACTTTGAATGAAATTAAATAAGTATGGACTAGATTATAAAGTATTGAAATGGTTCACAAATTACCTCACATATCGGACGCAGCTAGTTAAATTTAATCAAGTGACATCCAGTACTTTAAATGTAATTTCAGGAATCCCTCAAGGGTCAGTATTGGGTCCACTGCTATTCTTGCTGTACATAAATGATATTGTGATATATGTTAAAAGGTGTAAGATGATAAAACTGTTTGCCGACGACACTATGTTGTACTGTTCTGGGACAACTAATGAAATCTCAGAATGTTTGAATGAGAAACTATCAAATATAAACGAGTGGTTACGTGACAACGGCCTCAAGTTAAATGTTAATAAAACAAAATGCATGTTGATAGGTAGCAAATATCGTTTAACACAACTGCAAGATGAACAGCTGTCATTGAATATTTATATCGATATTGTCATCATTGAAAGGTTAACAACTTTTAAATATCTGGGAGTGGTATTAAATCAAGAATCGAACCTTAATGCGCACTGTAGTTATATTCAGAAGAAAAGTCACGAAAATTAATCTTTTATATAGATTGAAAAATAAAATAAGTGAATATGCAAAATTAACAATAAATATATGAAAACACAACGTTAACTTTTTTATTATTTATGTATAGGAAAATAAATATTTCGAAATAATAATCTCTCCCAACTACCTACACCTTAGGTTCTGGTAAATGCCTGCCGGAAAACAACTACTTCCCCTGCTAATACCACGTTTTTTTAAGGACAAAATACAAGCACTACAGAAAAATCCATTTTTTGATATTCTCCGAAATAACAATTTCATTCGAAAAACACGAAAAACAGTATTTTTTGTTTTCCCCGTATAACTCGAGAAGGTCGAGAGTCCCCATAAATTATCTTCGACCATTGTATTGTTCCCGATGACATTTTTCCCATTTAATAGTATTCGTATCTGTTACGGTTTAGAATATAGCAATGTTACCACATGATAAAAGAAACGGCCTGTATACAGTATGCGGGACACGAACGGGACACACATGCAATTAGGGCACATCAAAATCTTCACTTCTTCACCTAGTCATAAACTAAAAAAAACTGGTAGTGAAAAATGTACACAAAAGTGAAGCAATCGCGATAATCTATAAGAAAACATGTAATAGGTGGGTACCTATAATGCGATAAAATGGTTCTACGAGTATTTGCCATAGAAATCATATAAATTAATTATCTAACAATTTTATTTGTTGATTAACATATTTTTGATTGACAGCAAAAATATGTATCCATGAGTTCACTACATTCTCGAGAATAAATCTACAACAATGATTAATTAAATCACTTGACTAAGCTACTGTGCTAGCGAAACATGCTATGATATATTTTTCAAATAAAGACCTACTTGTAAAATCAATGATATTTGACATTATTTCCACGTAATATTATATTCCGAAAGAAATTTCACATAAAAAATGTTCTTATTTATGTTTTTATTTACCATAGATTAGCTAAATCTTACTGCCTTTGTCCAGACAGATATGAATATCAAACGAATTCAATCGTAACTTTTCCCATGCATCTGTTTTTTATTTACCAATTGCACCAATATACGGATTTCATATGACACATTCCATTGTTTCACCTGCATCCACACTCGGCTACTACCATATCTTTATACGAATATCGATAAGTGAGAACTCCATTAGTGTCTACATACAAAACCGAAATTGAATCCAATACCGTCGGTACACAGCAAGATCTGGAAACTTTCGAAGGTGCCACACTGTGAAGAAGTGTCTGTAGGATGGCATGCTTCGTTGGGTTGAGATGATCTGCTACAGGATAGAAACATCTTCCTTGGCATTGGTAGGCCTGTGGAATATTGAAAAAATTGATTTTGTTGTAAGTACAGGCCATTTTTTACTTCATATAATACCACTAAAATAATGGGTTATTTGGAATAGGATATTTCTCTCTGTTCATGATTCTTATGCCACACTTTTCTGTTTCATGCAAAATTTTAGTGTCATGTACCGATCTATCTCATCATTTTTATATGATGTCCATTGAGGCGTGTTGTGTTGTATTGTGCGACACTAGATATGTCCTGCGTGTTCTTTGAAACGAGTTTTGATAGTACTTTCAATGTGAACGATATACTTTTGTGAGAGCGGTGTTTTACCTAAATTAATTTCACGCCAGAGGTTTCAATTCTACCTATAAAGTTAGGTATGCTCCTGAAAGTTATTATTGGGCCATACTTAGTTTTTTCAAGAAGTGGAATACAAATTTGACAAAAATACTTCCAATTTCTTTCGTAAGAAACAACATTTTAGCTGTATTCTCCTGCTTTGAAACTTTCTGTCGAACACTAAAAATGACCCTAGTAAAAATTTATATTATGTGATGAATTGATTTTTCAATGTTTTTAAATGACAACGTCCCTCTATGTGAAATGTTTTTCAGATTTTTTACATCTTATTTTTAATAGCATTAAATTTGTCGATAAGATTTCTCTTTCTCGTTCAGCTTTTTCTCTTATATCTGTATATCGACCATAAAGGTATTCAATTCAAATTGTTGATTAGGTGAAACAAGAACTTCAAGGTTATACAGTGTGTCTGCCCAAGGCTTAAGTTCGCACTATATAGAAAACTTTTTTATTATTGATTTTACTAAAAAATCCGCATAAAAAATTCTGCATGACCTTAAACCTAAAATGCATCCATTAGATATAACATTTTTCAGTCGAAATATACATATAGATTTTAACATTGTATGCAAAAAATAAAAACATTTCTGAAAATAAAGGGCGAAGTTCATTTTCTGCAGACAAACGATAGTTTTACTACGAAAATGTTCTTCCACCGATGACGCCGCCAGCCCAAAATCCACACCAAATAGTGCCTTTTTCGGCATGCATTGGACGTTCATGGAACTCGTGTAGATTGGATTCGTCCCAAATTCGACAATTTTGTTTATTCACGTACCCATTCATCCAGAAATGGGCCTCATCGCTGAAGATGATTTTTCGATGAACACACATCGTTGCCTATGGTCCTTTACCTTCATTTCCTGGGTCAGTTGAATTTTGTACAGGTGAAGGCCCAAGTCACGACGCAAAATTCGCCAAGTTGTGGTCTGCGAAATGCCCAGTTCTTGTGAGCGACGCAAATTCGACTGTCTCGGATTCTCCGGCACACTCTAGTAAACAGCGGCCATGTTTTTGCAGATCTTGCGTTTCGTCAACGTAGTGGTGTTGGTCGATCGTTTACTAAATCAGTTGGCTCAAATTTATCGACCAGATTGCGAATAGTCCTTTCGGAAGGACGATTATGGCGATCGTGAAATGGGCGAAGCGCGCTGTACGTTGGCCAAACAGAACACCATTTTTATAAAACAATTTTATTATTTGAAGGTGTTGTTGAATGCTATATCCGTCAATGGTGATTTGGCAACACCAATCTGAATAAATGACAACTAATTCAAAAGATGTAGCTTCAACAAGATGACCGTTACCGATTGTCAAAGTTCGGAAGTCCTTGTTGGAGGACCTTATAGAAGAAAATTCTCTCAATACATTTCTAATTATATTCGCAGTTATACCTTCAATTATCTCCATTATATTTTTTCCAAATGGTCTACGTTTGTGAATAGCTTGTGTTGATACAATTTTCTTTTAAGTAACCCGAGATGAAAAAATCCAACGGGGTTAAATGTGGTGACCTAGCTGGTCAAACAATATTGGAATATATATGAATTAACTTCCTAATAAAGATGTTTTCAAAGTATTGCCTTACTTCCATCGTATGTTGTGCCATACTGCTTGTACCATACCTGTTGATGAACGGGAACAGGTATGGTTTTGGAATGTCACGTAGAACTTGTTGTTCAACTGCTGTCTGGACAACTGTAATTCTTCAGTTGAAAGAGAAGGCGATAATGGTGGTGTTTCACCTTCAGTTGGATTTTCATTAAATATAGGAACAACTGTAGGCTCAAGAGTATTTTCTGGATTAGGTATCTGTTCTTTCAGTTGTATTTTCCGGATTAGGTATATCTATAACAAATGCAGGAGCATAATCAATTTCAGTAAACAGATTCCGGTTAAGTATATGGGTAAATTCCTGTTTTGCGAAAGCCGGTATGACTGTTGGGATAGTTTTTGTCGGACGCTTGTCTCCCACTTTTCGTAGTGAATCTCCAGCTTTTACTTCCTCGTGTGCCTTACTATAGCTTGACAAGTCAATTTCCCCCCTGGAAGTCTTTCTCATCCGAACTTTCGGCATCAGAGAGCAGAATCAACCGATCATTTTCGATGTGCAAAGCCTCTACACTAACGTTCCTGTCGAAGAAGCACTTCAAATCATGCAGAAGAAGCTATCCGAAGATGGGGATGTGAAAGATAGAACAAACTTACCAATACTGCATACGAAACTGCTACTTCCAACTGAAGGACGAATTCTATACGAAAGATGAAGGACTGCCAATGGGATCGCCACTTTCACCGGTTATATCCAATATATATATGGAGTGGTTTGAAACTCTGGCCATTGAACAAGCCCACAAGAAGCCCCGACTCTGGTTGAGATACGTGGACGACGCCTTCATAATATGGAACCATGGGAATAAAGAACTAGACATTTTCCTGAAGCACATCAACAACGTAAGTCCTTCCATCACTTTCACAATGGAGAAGGAAGTCCACAACGAATTGCCATTCTTAGACGTATTGGTGAAGAGGACCGACATTAAATGGGAAACATCTGTATATCTAAAACCCACTCACACGGGACAGTATCTGAACCAGGAATTCAACCACCAACAATCGACTAAGAGAGGAATCATCAAGACTCTACTAGACCGTGCTTTCGGGCTCTGCAATACAAAGGAAGGTCTAGAAAAGGAACTAGGCATCATCAAAAATTACTTTCAACTGAATGGTCATTCCAGTGGAACAGGCTTTAGCCAGAAGACAGCAAGAGCTCCACAAGGAAGAGAAGCCGCCACAACCAGTACTTGTACTTCCCTACATCAGAGGATTGTCAGAAAGGATAGGAGAGGTTGAGTCCAAGTATAACATCAGAACCTGCTTCAGATCCGGAAATACTATCCGTAGCAGCCTCACGAAAACCAGGCCACCAAACGCGGACTGCGATTCCAAGAATTGTATTTACCGGATACTCTGAGAGTGCGGAGTATCATACATCGGTGAAAGTAAGAGGCCATTGAGAGTTCGCATTGCCGAGCACAAAAAACACATACACGAGGAGAAACCAGCAAATCCGGAATAGCAAAGCATGTTTGGACTCATCAACATAAAATCAAGTGGGCTCAAACTGAAATCATTCACAAGGAGGAACACTGCTTTAGGAGAAAATTTGAAGAAGCCGCATATTATGTTGTCCAATAACGCATTTAGTCAAGCTAGCGTAGAGATACGTAACATATGCTAATCAAGCGGAACACAACCAACTCCCGCTAAACGGTCAGCTCCCGCAAAAAACCAATGAAGCAGAGAAAGGGAAGAGGGGATAGGTGAAAGCAGTCGAAAGACCTATAAATGGTCAGATCTCGAAGCATTAGGTCCAGTTGTCTAAAGAGTAAGGGAGCTGGGCTCCAACTTGAATGAAATCAAGACGACGTGCAGATTAAGTCCAGTTATCACACGAAGACGGTTGTGGATAGTAACAATCGAAATGTCGTGAAGTAACTTGATTTGGAATCTTTCAATTTTTAATTTTCTTTTCTTGTTTTTTAATTTTTCAGCTCGTGTTAATAGTTCAATTTTTTTTGTATTTTTTTGGTTGTTTCTTGTATGTTATTCCATGGTAATTTCAGTTAGCAAAATTGCGGCATAACTCAATTGATGGCGGACAATTTCAAAAGTGAATGCCAAAATTATATGAATCAAATCAACAGGCCTACCAAAAACTAACCTTGGGAGCTCGAAAAAGCTCGAAAAAGTATATTTTCAACAAGACGGGGCTTCGCCTCACAACACTGCAACTGCCACTAACCGTTGGCTGACCAGGTCACCGGGGAAGGTTGAAAGATCTTATTTTTAAATTTCCGACCAATTCTAGATACGAATTGGAAGCGGCAGTGATGAAAAGTTTTATTTATCTCACTCCTATTGAGTGGAGTGAGATGCACATTTTCCAAAAACATGCTATAACTCAAAAACAATGATAGATATCGATATGGGGGTTTCACCATTGTGTTCGTTATAAAATTCGACTTTCAGACACAGCCATCAGTTTTCATCTATCTTAGTCTGAAAACCGGAGTTTCCTTTTGAAAGTGTCCAATTTGGCCCACTCTGTAATCCAAACATTCGTTATGGAATCGGATCAGATATCATTCAGATCAGATATATTCATTGCGAAGCCAATGAGCCGTCGCTGAAACACAGATGAACACTTCTCACACTAACTCATTCTGCAAAAGAACAGGCACTCCGACAACATTCTTCCTGCGAAACCGCTTTTCCTACCAAACCAAGCGCTTTATATGGAAACAGGCCTAGATTATCGATGCCCCCACACGAAAGAATAAAAATGGCTTTTAGAGATCTCAGCGTAAATTTTTCTGGCGTATTTCCTATCCAGACTACTTTTCCTTCATGGACCATGAGCCAACCTAAATGTCACACAGGTATTTCCATCTTCGACAAACATTGTACTAATCTATCACTCATAAAAAACCTTATTGTTCAACTATATACTGACGCTTCAGAAATGGATGAGAATGTGNCCGCATAAACGACTGAAAAAAATTAATATTTGATGGTTACATTTTAGGATTCAGCCCATGCACAACTTTTTATAAACAATAACTTTTTTTCGTAAAATTATAAATTAAAAAAAAGCCACATGGTGCGAACTTGAGCAGACACACTGAATATTTATTACTATTTCAATTCTTACTCACCTCATAACCACTTGGTTGCACTATCCACATATCATATTTGATTTCGGCAAAGTCTATGTAAAGTGGTTTCCTTTTACACGAGTTCCTGAGTTTCTTCATTTTTCTCATTTGAATTTTTCTGCTGGAAGCATCATCGTCCCATATTCTGTTAGTTTCCTCTTCGTAATCGTCTTCCAAGCTGCGTTTCTTTCTTTTGTGTTCCAGCCTCACGTTTTGTTTGTTATCTTTAACTTTATCGGCCTTCTCTTTGTCAGAAGAATAGGACAACAGTAAAATTGGATAATCATGTTCGAAATCCTCTTTCGGTGGCATTAGGGAGAGTTTGAAACTACCACCAACTCTTGATAGGAAAGAAGAAATAGTTATAGAAATTTTCAAAATTTTGCTCTTTGATGTTGTGTGCAGAAGGTTGTTCACTGGAGCTGTAACATCGAAGGACACCCAAGAGTTGTTGAGGTGATGGAGCTGTATTTCTTGAAAATCCAGAAATCGCTTGATGGTATCGTCATAAATAGATATTTTTAAAATTCGTCTTACTCCTGTAACGTAAAATCGACAAATCAGTAACTTCCGTTTGAATGAAATCAAGAAAATATTGATCAAGTTGCTCATACAGATACTTTTAGATTGTTGAAAATCATGCAGCGTTCGTGCCAGTTTAAATTAGTAACTGACTCCCACAAGGCTCGGTTTTTGGGCCATTCCCTCTATATGATAACATATTACTACCCAGCAAACACATCTGTGACATTGACATTGACATTTTCGCAATGCCACCTTAGGCTACAATAATATTAATACTAGGTGATGGTAATATCACTTTGTTACATTGTATGGTATGTGTGGGGTGTTAATTGAGATGCCAATAGATGTCTCCAGGATTAATGGAGACATCATGGAAACAACTTTCATAGTTTATATATTTATTAATACATTTGCAAGCGTATGTGTCCCTATTTCTTCCATAGAAAAACAAATATTTGGAATTGAGGAAAAGGCATTTGAAATATTATTTCCTAACAAGAGATGATTAACCAACTATCCGTTTTAAAGTTGATAAACTTGTCCCAGCGATATCACAAAACTTGTCGCAGATATACCACGAAAAACTTTAGCGGTATCGCAAATCTTGTACTAGTGAGACAGACGTAAATCGTTGCAATATCGCCGCTAGATCCTGGTGAGTTGAATGTGACACCGCTGTAATATTTTATTAATGTGACTGTGTTTTTTGGTTAACAACTATACGTTGATTTTTCATTTATGGCAGTAATAACATATGAAAAACAGTAGAATGTCTATACATATTTAAAAAAAGTAGGAAATTGAAATGTTAACACATATTATGAAATAATTAGTGCAAGATCTTGGGATAGTCAAACTGATATCGAACTGTGAAATGAAGATATTAGTATGCCCTGAATCTTTGTGTCATGATCTCAGAAATCGGAGGAATATTCTATCCCACGGCATGAATACGAACAGTTCGAGCGATCCTTCTCTTATCAGGCTGTTAGTATCAACAATAATATCGAAGAAAGAAAAAACGTTTTTTAAAACATTCCCGTTTTACTTAATTTTTTAAGAGTATATTTTCAACATGTTATGTATTTACCTATGTATGCTTGGTTGAGTGGAAGAATAGTGATGTATGCTAAACTCCGCCAAGTAAAATAAAGGCCATTTATTATTATTATCTTCAAGTACGGTGAGTTGGACTGAAAAATTCATAAGCTAAGATAAAAAAAAGATTTTATTATTCAATGTTAGTTGCCTTCGTCACTGTCACATATCGAAGCATAAATTCGGGTTTTTTATGACGGAACTGCTTCAAACACTGCTCAGAACTATCAATTCGTTGTTGTTTTGGTCGATTAGGAGCTTGCACGGCACCCACTTTGAACAGAGCTTTCGCATACCCAAATATGCATGCCCAATATGTAAAACACTTTCCTTTGATATCTTTAGATCCTTAGTTATCTCGATCAACTTGACTTCGCGGTCATCCAAAATTATTTTTTGGACTTTTTTGTTGTTTTCGTCGGCAACAACCTCTTTCTCATTTCACCTCGTTTAGACGTAGCAAACCACTTCTTAACAGTTGATTTTTCTGGTGCAAAGTCCGAACTATGTTTATCAAGTCTTGGTTTCAAAAGTATTGTTTTTCGTCAAAAAGTAATGCTTTATTAACAATCGAAATTCCTTTTTACCCATTTTCTTCAAACTAACAGAAGTTGCTTCACTCAAAATGTTCTATCCCACTGTTGTAACTCACCCGCTAAAGAAAATAACGCCAGCTGCCACTGGTAGCAATAAACCAATTGTGACGCAGCTGAGAGCGTGCGAATGTACGATGTTACCTGCCGCTCTAGATGCAGCGAGAATAAAATTACCAGTTACGATGGAATTCCGGCGAGCATATCGCGATAGTCAAGTGGAAGTTACAGTGCGGTACGCGAAGCGATCTAGTAAGATGATAAACATTCTAATAATAGTTGGAGTTTTAGTTGAAGTGTATGTTGTATTCAAAGTGAAATAAAGTTAAGTTTGATTATTCAGTGTAGTCAATTATTGGTCAATCCACGGAGAATAACGTAACACCACAAATAGTCCGACAGCTGTAAAATTTGTACCCGTATGTTTTGAAAGTTGGCGTTAACTGAAAAACATGGATTTAATATTAGTAGCGCCATCTGCGTTAGCCTACGTACTTTTCAGCCCATCTAGTATGTTCATGATGAACAGGTCAAATCCCGTAAATGAATAAGTAAATAATAAAAATATTTTTCAAATTACACTTTAATAAGAGTTGATACAGTGTAACCCATTTAAAGAAGAAGCACTCTATGATACAAATATTTTACAACCGTTCGTATTTTATTTTCATTACGTAGACATTCGAGATGATTTACGTCCAAATTATCCTCCCTTACCACGTCACTGAAATCAGCAGGTTTTAATTCACTGTCCAAAATTTCATTCACATCTGTTCACTATTAAAAAAGTTATAGGTAAAAAATATTAAACGACATATTTTTCAAACATTCTCAACTTATTTATACTTTTAATATATTCAATGAAATTTCCGACAGTGATAAATCGAAACCTACTGAATCCAGTGGAGTAGTCAGAATATATATAGTTATGAAATTGATTTGGTGGGATAATTAAATCAATATTTTTCAAATTTCATTGCCTGATTCTGACCAAACCATTTCAAAAATACGTGAATCTAGTGTTGCAGTCAGGTTAAAAAAAATCGCTTATGATATTTCTGAATTTTGACATTGAAAAATAACGAAAGTTTGCGCTAAAATCGAAGACTTATTTATGATATTTCATTTTATGAATTTCTACCTATTGAAAAAAAAGTATAACACTAATAAGATGAACAATATATGTTTCATAAGGTTTCTTCCATTTTAAATTATATAAAACAAAACACAAAAAATATATCCATATCATCTTACTCACCAATATTATTTCTTGTTTCAACATCTAATAATGTAAGAATTTTCAACTCTGCGCTGAGGAAATGTTCATCCTCAGTTATTGTAGGAATGTCAAAAATTAAAAAATGACAATCGGCAGGCTCATCATATACTTCGTTGTTATCGATTGTTTCTGTGAAAATAAAAGACATGTACAAAGATTGTTAATCGATTTCAAAAATTCAAAAATTTACTGAAAAATAATTCTTTAATTGTTCGTGGAGTTTCTTAATGATTTTTCTTAACTAAAACATTTTTTTAATGACTGCTATGCCGATAATAATGCACTTAATAATACTTTTCATAAAAACATGTAAATTCATTCATTTGCACGCTGTTATGAAAATGAATATCATTAAGAAACGTATGTGGCAAATGAAATAAATTAGTCTGAGTCTATAGTTAAAGTGAATTTTCATTTTTCTCAAAAAATATTTATTTTTTACTCGATTTCCATTTTGTCTCCTTCAAAGTTGTCCACATCAGATATAATAAACTTGTGCCAGCTTTTTTCCAATCCTCATATCAACATTTTGGTATTCCCTTGGTATTTCCTCAATCAACACAAAAACGCCGTCCTTTTATGGTTTTGTTTGATCTCAGAAACATGAAAACGTCGCAGAGAGCTAAATCTGGTGAATGCGGTGGCTGAGGCACGATTACGGTGTTGGTTTTGGCTTATAAATAGGAACAAGCAATGACGACAGACTAGGTGCATTATCGTGATACAAAAGCCATGAATTCTTTATCCACAATATCGAACTTTTTCTTCATATTGCTTCTCGTAAACTGCGCATAACTTCAAGATAATTCTTTTTATTGACCGTACAACGATGTGGCAAAAAATCCTGATGCATTACGCCACGGTAATCGAAGAAAACAGTGAGGAAAACCTTGACATTTGGACTTTGGTTTCAATGTCATAACCATATACGATATACCTATTAAGCAACCCTAGATCGCCGTAGGTGTCATTTAACAACTCATGCGACGTTTTTTGGACAAAATTCAGCAATTTTGGAACGAACTTCGCTGCCACATGCTTCATGCCTGAAATTTCCGATAAAATTGCATGAGATGTTCCAACCAGAGTTTTCTAATAGTGATTCGACGATTCTCCATATCAATTTCCTTCACTTTCTCGACATTTTCCTCGGTTGTTGATGTGCCGGAGCGTACAGGGCGAGCGTCGTCATTCACATCTTCTAGAACTTCGGCAAAAAGTTAAAGTTTGTCCACGTGAAAATGGATACTAACTTCAATTTCGAGGTTTCCAAATTCATAACGCCAGAAAATATCGATACTCAGCTACTATCCATGAGCAAAGCAACCACAAATCCCCATTTGATCCAGCTGGGACTTGTGTTGGACTACAGTAGGGATGAACTACGATGTCTAACATGCCTTATTACAGGTTACTGCCATTTGAATCATCATATGCAGAGACTTGGACTGTCGGTAGTCAGTATGTATTGCCTCTGTTTGGAAAATGATGAAACAGCAGTGCATATACTTTGTGCCCGCCCCGCTGGGGACCAAATCAGGTTCTTATAGTTCGGCAGAGCCGTACTCTTACCATCTGACCTGCAAGACCACTCACCATACAAACTAATCGGCTTCGTTAAGAAGCTGGGTTTATTTGTCCGAGTGTGAATAGGTGTGAGCCACAATAAACCCTTGCGGGTTGCGGTCAAGGGTTGAACAGACCCATTCACTTTAGACCTAACCTAACCCAACTTCACCAGAAAATCTTCACTGATGCCTCGAAAACAACTCGTGATGTAGAATGTGCATTCGTAACGAACGGGACTGCCTATATATTTTCTTTACATGAATCTGCCACTATTCTCACTGGAGAACTTTATGCCATCTATAAAGCTCTTTCCTCCATTAACACGACGCCTGGTAAATATTTTTTGATAATTACAGACTCTCTCAACTCCCTTATTTCCTTATCGAAAATATATAGCCATCACTTACTGGTAACTATGATTGAGGAGAAGATTAAACAACTAGATACCAAGACAGTAACCTTCCTATGGATTCCTTCACATACTGGGATTACTGGAAACGATAGAGCCGATAAACTTGCCAGAGAAGCTCTAGAAAATCCAGCATGTACTCTCAGTATGAAATCATTGCCAACAGATCTCAAATCCTTTTTCCATGGCAAAATTGTAGAAATGTGGGGTCACCACTGGTCTCAAAAACCCTCCAAACTTAAAGAAATCAAATCTACATTATATCCTTGGAGCAACAAAGCAACAAACCGGTTCCATCAAGTCATAATTACCAGATTACGACTGGGCCACACCCGCCTTATGCATGAACATCTACTGAGGAAAGAACCGCCACCAAAGTGTTTCGCGTGTGAAGTGTTTGTGACTGTTAAGCATGTTCTGTTCCCTCCGACCTAAGTGAAATTTTCCAAAATACCAATACGAACAATATTATAGAATTTCCTAAAGAATGTAACATTTATTTAAACTGTAATGTAAACAACTGCATATTTTAGATATATTGTATATGTTTGCCGCTAATAGCTACGGCTGATGCGGTTTTTTTCAAATAAACAAAAAATATTGATCTCAACAATGGAAAACAATATTTCAGTATGTGAGAAATCTATTCTCTTGATGTTATGGAAATAGATAGGTATGATATAAAAGAAACTGCTCTAGAACTGTCAGTGTTGTCAGTGTTTAAAATATTTTCAGTCAGTTAGTAAGTATTGAGCAGGGCGTGTGACATTTTCTCTATTCGAAAACGCCATCTATGGGTTCGACAGAGAACTCAGTCCTCGAACATCAAAGATAAACGAGGCTCCCCAAGGAGGTCAGCTGCAAAGCCAAGCTTCCACATCGACCGCTGAACTAGTGGATAAATTAAAAAAAAGGAAACAGCAATGAAAAGGAAACAGAAAAAACTAAAAATTTTATAATATTTTTGGGGGATATGAAATAATAATTCGAATACCTATTTCTCCTCCGTGTGTTGGAATTAAACTTCTCACCACATCTGGCCTTTCTTTACTTTCTCCGCCAATTTTATTCCTTTCATATAACTCCAGCATAAATTTTGGAACATGAAACTTCCTCTTCTTTTCCGAAACATCTTTTTCGGAACTGTTCAAACTGTGGTCAAATACGTGATTAGCCACGATATTTTTGGAGTCTATTATATTCAGTTCGATAGAAGTATTAGGAAACAAATTACTTTTCAGCACTATCAGGAGATAAACCCAGAGAAATATCAGGATCGAAACGGTCACTATAATGCTCACATACATTGCATTCATTTGCTGAAAACTGTTTGGAAGCGTACTGATGCACGTCGAGACGTCGAGCGTCCATAAGAAACACTTGAGATCCATTTGGGTTTATCTTTGGATGAGGTTATCAAAATGGTCCTGTTTCCTCGTTGAAAATGATTTGAAATTATTAATAGAGATGGAATTTACCTGCTGTTTGTGTACTAATATATTCTGTGTAGTGCAATGAAGGAGGAGAATTGAGAGACATACAATTTCAATTGAAAATATAAATATTAGGTCGTTCAACAGCAGTTCATTGAAAAGAAGGTTATTGAAATATATCGGAAAAGAAAGGTTTTGGCTTTCTACCACTCCCTCTTCATACGAAAAAATGTGGAGATCTTCAAAAAAACCGAGCAATTACATTCATGAATAAACTCTTTACACTTTTTCCTATTCAGCTTGTATAGATTGGGCCAAATTGGACACTTGAAACTCCCGTTTTCAAACTAGATAGATGAAAACTGATGACTGTTACTGAGGGTCAAATTTCATGATAAACTTAATGGTAAAAACCGCATATTGATATCTATTATCGTTTTTCGAAAAAGTGCATCTTCGAAAAGTTGCTGTAACTTTTTTCCTGTCAAAAATAACTTGTTTTTATGAAAATTCCACACCTGTAATTTTGAACCGATCAAAATACGTCATTTTGACAAATCACCATGGCAATAGAGGTATTTTAGTGGAAATTGTTTCTCGTGTGATACCCAACAGCGAATTATACTAGAAATTTTTTGATGTTTACTATAACAGACCATTTTTGACAAATTGGTTTTTATTTGTTATCAATAGAGATTGAAATTACCTTTAAAAAAATGTAGTACACTTGATGTTTTGCTAGAGTCATCTTTGAAATACAGAACTTGCCGCAAAATTGCGGCATAACTCAATTGATGGTGGACAATTTCAAAAGTGAATGCCAAAATTATATGAATCAAATCAACAGGCCTACCAAAAACTAACGTCCCGAGGATTTTGAAAGAACACAAATTCAAGGTATTCAACCAGAAGAGTTCGTCAACTGAGAACAGGAAATTTTGAAGTTGTATCTGAGTGCGTGATTTTTCGTTAAATTATGAGCTTATGTGAGCTGTGCCGGCATTTTGAACCGCTACAATTATTATAATCGGCCCGTATTTAGAAACTTTAAGGTAAAATATTGAACCCCTTGGTAATGAATTGCCACTAATGAAGCTCGAAAAAGTATATTTTCAACAAGACGGAGCTTCGCCTGACAACACTGCAACTGCCACCAACCGTTGGCTGACCAGGTCACCGGGGAAGGTTGAAAGATCTTATTTTTGAATTGCCGACCAATTCTAGATACGAATTGGAAGCGGCAGTGATGAAAAATTTTATTTATCTCACTCCTATTGAGTGGAGTGAGATGCACATTTTCCAAAAACATGCTGTAACTCAAAAACAATGATAGATATCGATATGCGGTTTTCACCATTGAGTTCGTATAAAATTCGACCTTCAGACACAGCCTTCAGTTTTCATATATCTTAATCTGAAAACCGGAGTTTACTTTTAAAAGTATCCAATTTGGCCCACTCTGTACTCCAAACATTCGTTATGAAATCGGATCAGATATCATTCAGATCAGATATATTCATTGCGAAGCCAATGAGCCGCCGCTGAAACCTAGACGAACATATCTCACACTAACTCACTCTGCAAAAGTACAGGCACTCCGACAACATTCTTCCTGCGAAACCGCTTTTCCTACCAAACCAAGCGCTTTATATGGAAACAGGCCTAGATTATCGATGCCCCCACACGAAAGAATAAAAATGGCTTTTAGAGATCTCAGCGTAAATTTTTCTGGCGTATTTCCTATCCAGACTAGTTTTCCTTCATGGACCACGGGCAAACTTAATTGTCAGACAGGTATTTCCATCTTCGGCAAACATTGTACTAATCCATCACTCATAAAAAAAAATCTTATTGTTCAACTATATACTGACGCTTCAGAAATGGATGAGAATGTGGGAGCAACGATCATTGGTCCTAACATCTCCGTTCAAATGGAACTCCCAAATTGTAGCTCTGTTTCGACAGGGGAACCATATGCCACATACCGCGTCACCCTATTTACCAACGCATCCACTTGCAAAAACTGTATTATCCTAATCAAGAACCAACACTATGAAGCAGTGATCAATGGTAAAATCATAAATTTCATATGAATCCAATCGCAGACAGGAATGAGAGGTAATGAAGAATTTGATGAACTGGCCAAAGAAGCAATAACCACCGCAATTTCTGAAATTGTAACCAAAATGATGACATGCGACATGCAGAATTCAATTAAATAGACCATGCTGGTCGCATGGCAAACATTTTGGCAAAGCTTAACATCAAAACAGAGAGGAGAAAAAAGATTCGTGAAACCATAACCTAAACATCGAAGGGACTAAGTAATCCTAACCTGTTTACGGTTAGGCTACACAATGCCTAACTCACGAGTATTTACTTCAAAATAAGAATGAATCAACATGCGAAGCATGCCACGTGAATTTAACTGTGATGCATCTCCCTTTTTTTTCAAGGACAAAACACGAGCATTACAGGAAAATTCTTGAGGCGCTCTAAGAACTTTGCCTGTACAAAAGTAGCGATTCATATCAGATTTGAAACGATGAGATTGGAAAGACGTTCTCAGGAAGTTTATTCCACTCGAGCGCAGTTCTCTAAATGAAAGAGTTTCTAAACAGTGAAGTGCGAGGTGTACTGAGTTTACCCTCAAAACGATGAGCATCCACAGTCCGTTGCGTATTTCTGATATGTACCGCTCTTGTTGTAATCAAGTGTGCCAAGTCACTTGAGCAACTCTTCTGAAAGTATCTATAAAAGAGAGACAAATCTCCTACCTTTCTTCGATGTTCCAGACTATCGAGGTTGCAAGTGATGTTCGTGTCTTCAATCAGGCGGATGGCTCTTTTCTGGATGGAATCCAACAGCTTCAGGGTATGCTTAGGGGCGAAGCTCCATACATAAGAACAATACTCCAAAGAAGATCTGATCTGAGTTTTATAGAGCATCAAAAGTTGCTGAGGTGAGTACAGTTTTCTGGTTCAAAAACTTGGAACAGTGTTCCAAGCTTTTGAGAAGCGGCTTTTGCAATTCCAGCGGCATAATTGTGCCAAGACATATTGGTGTCCAATTTAACCCCAAACAAACTTATCGAAGCACAAGCGGAACTATCTGTCCTGATACTATTATATCCAGTTCGGAGACATTTATCTATCTTTTTGGAGAAAACCGATGCCTGAGTTTTTGTTGCATTGAATTGAAGGGAACGTTAATTCAGGAAGCTAAAGAGCCATACACAAAAATGATTCAACAAGCTATATCATCAAAGTTTGACTAGCAAACCCTCATGCCAGACACTGTCAAAGACCTCAGAAATATCAAGCGCAACAGCTCTTGACTCTCCACGTTTCTCGATAGCGTTATTCCAAATATGGGTGACATACGATAGAAGGTCACCTGTTGATCTTCGTTTCCGAAAGCCATATTGATGATTGCTCAAGATGTTGAACCCTTTCAAATATTTTCATGGAATATCATTATCTTTAAAGGATACACTGGGCCCTAACTATGCATTCGATAAATTACTGTCTTTTCAGAACTTTATTCAAAGAAACTATATTTAGAACTATAACTAGAAATGTAATCTGAACTGTAACGCTAATAACCAATTTGGTTGATGCGTTTTTTTCTACACGGGTGGTATATACATTCGCTATTATATACCACCCGTGTAGGTACTAATAGAAATAGAGGTACTTGACTTGATTGAGTACTTGAATTAACAGTCCACAATGCGGATGTGCCAATTCAAAAACCGGCGAGTAAACTATAAATCGATTTGATCATTTAACAAGTTGCACCCGCAATGTTTATGCTTGTGAATTTCTAAGGATTTTAAGTAACTGAGTTTGCAACCTTTCCTGGCATAGTGCAGAATTTCCGTATCGTTTAGATTCGGAAACTTGTGGTTGCATGCCAGGAAATGGTTTGAAAACGTCGAATCTTTTTTTCCTAGTCTGAAGGACCTTTCATGTTCAGCATACCGTTTTTGTAAATTTCGGCCACATTGTCCCACATAAACACTATTACATTCCGGACACTTAAGCTTATAAACTCCAGATTTTTCCAACTTGTCAACCTTATCTTTGGCATTGAAAAAGAAATGAGATAACCTGGCATGTGGCCTGAATGCCACTTCCATGTTGTTTTTTCTGAAGAAACCCGCAATTATCTCTGCTCTTTTTCCAAAATATGTTAGCGTTACCCATTTCTTGATTTCTGGTTGTTTGACCTGAGGGTATATTCATCTGTAAGTGAATTTTCGGTTTTGTTTCCTGCCTAACTTCTGGATAGTATCTGCATTGAATCCATTATTATGACCTACTTTTGAAATGTTAGCAGACAAAGGCAGTGAGAATGCTCTGTGCAACATTGAATTGTAGGCTGCTAATTTATGACTGTTTGGATGGAAAGAATCGCTTGGGATGGTGATGTCTGTATAGCTAGGTTTTCTGAAAACATTGAACTCAAATTTATTCTGATTGTGTGTAATGGCCAGGTCTAAGAAATTTATCTGTTTCTCTATCTCTGTTTCGAGTGTGAATTGAATGTTGCTATTGAGATTATTCATGAATTTCATAAATTGGTTCAGCTGTCGTGTAGTTCCTCTGAAACAGGCGAGAATATCGTCTACATATCTGTACCAAAAATGAATATGTTTTTTACCCAGGTCGGAATTTATTATAGTGGTCTCCAAGTTGTTCATAAATACCTACAGGAGTGGTATATAATGGTGAATGTAATGAATCATTGTTAGTTTATTGTTTTAGTTTGAAAATGTCCGTATAGGACGAAACTGCAGTAACGTTAGTTACAAATAAAAGTGGTAAAAAACATAGAAAGTCTCATTTATCTTTTCTTCAATAGGTGAAAAAATTGGTTTTCTTCCGTTCAAAACTTCTTTTATGTTCAAAGATTCTCGCTTTGAAATTTCCTGAAGTCCTTCACAAATAAACTTTCTCCCCTGATTTGTTATCTTTGCCCTGTTTGACTTGTTGTTCTTTATATATCTACCAGAGGAGGTACCGGTCTTCTAATATGCTATATTGATGTTCCCTTTTGTTAACAGCCTTTTCATCGTATCCCATGATTTTCCTGTATATGTGAGTGTTTTCTATGAATACCAATTTATTCTACCTATAAATAATTTTTTTTAGAAAATTGGATGCTGCTGAAAAGTATTTTCGAAGTTGTTCCTGATAATTTCAGCGAGGAGGGGGCTTAAGGATTACCCATTACGAGGCCTTATTTGTTGTTATAGAATTAGAAATAATTTTGATACAGGCATAGTGGCCAAAGTACATGTATATCAAAATGAATTAATAGGTGTGTATGATATTTAAATGGCATTTCATTTCTGCTCATTTTATTCTCTTATTGAGATTATTTCTGTTTCAACTAACTCATCCGAATATTTCGGCCTGGTTATTTTTATGATTTCTACTTTTTCGGACAATGGAAGCCCAAATTTGTAACATTCTATTGTGTGATATTTGTCTTAAATGGACGATATAGGATTGGTTTATCCGGTATATCGGCCGCACAAGAAAATAAACATAACGTTATGAAGAAGGGAAATCACCTCTCCCAATTGGAAACAGATAGTTTGAAGTCATTTCAGTCATTTCAAGAATTGATAAAATGGAAAAGTGACAGTTTTCAACGGGCGTATGTAACTTATCTACCTTATTCGGTCATGTTTATTCAGTAAATGACGTATTTCTTCTTTTTTCTTTTTTTTTATCTTCCCAAACAACTATCTCAACTTATTGTATTATGTTCAAAGTAAAATTATAACTATTTTCATTATTTTTCATTAAAGAAATGCTTTTTTACAAAAGTAATGACTTACACTATTCATAAAGTCAATCATGATAATTCACTCTCGAAATGTAAACATGAAAGTAAAAATAGATCGTTATGGTGATAATGTAATAATATTATTTACAAAATGGTATATGTACAAAATTGATTGAGCAGAATTGAAGCTATGAAAAGTCTTTGACACAGCTTTCCTAAAGGTGAAAATGTTTCTTCACTTTTCATCAGCAACATTCCACTTTTTATTTTCTTTTCTCTCATCTGGAGAATTATATATTGTTAGAACTTTCACTTCAACCGAATATTGCACTGCACATTTCATTATTTTTCTTGTTTATCGAATATGTCGTCCCTGGAACTGAATACTTTTTATATTTCGATATCCTCATCTTATGTTTACTTCCAGGAATTCTCTCGACTTTGAAAATGTTGTGCCTGCAAAAAAATGTTACAGATTAATAACGTTAAAAGAGATTCGATGTAATTTTTCATCATATTATCATAATCATAATAATATTCCTTAGTCTGATAGAAATTATAAAAGAAACTGTGAAATCAGTGTAACTCATCAGTGCAAGATAGTGGCCATCATCGACCTAAAGTCAACGATATTCCATAATTGAAAATCGGAATTCTTTCAGAGTATTTCATTCCTTTTCCTAAGTTGGAGGGAACAACAAAATGTCACTCCATCTAGTGGACGAGGTACTAACCAACTGCATATCCGTAATTTGCCCGATTTCTCTGAATAAGGAGGAAAAACTTTCTTATTAGTCAGTGCATATGCGTCAGTGTAGGAATCTTTACAGAAAATTTCCTGCATATGCAATATGGCAATACAACTGAAAGAGTCGACCTTCAATTTTGAATGGCACATGAGATGAGTGGCTAATGAGCCCTAAACCGGTCTGCAAGTGTGCCCGTTACAAAATTGAAGGTCGACTCTTTCAGTTGCATTGCCAATTGCATATGCAGGACATTTTCTGCGAAGATTGCTGTACTGACGCCTGTCGGATATAATCCAACGGCCTTCGTGGTATTAGCCAGGGGAGTAGTTGTTTTCTGATAAGCGTCAGTCCTTTCGACCTACTGTGTTGGTATATTCGAGACTGGTATGAACGTTTAAAGTTCAGTTCTTTAGATATATTAATAAGTTTAATTCTATAGTCTACTCGTATAGTCGAATATTTTCATATTCCATCACTCTATGTTTATGTACATTCTAAATGTATGCATTCCTGTGAATATAAATTTTATCTGATCTTCTCATTTTATTTTATATCACCTTATTTTGAGGAATGTGTGAGAAAATATGATGACAAATTTATCTCAAGGTTCTCTCAAGGTGGATATCATATTTCAATTGTATTTTTTTTAAGTATCAGCCATTTCAAGACACATTTTAGGAATTTTTTTCTCACACACAATTAGGAGTGAATTTCAATAATTTGTAGCGAAAAAACAAAACAAATGTACATGTATCTCACCTGAATAGCGCATCTGGTTGTGTCAGTCTCATGCATAAGTGTATATTTGAGGAAAAGTCTATGTCAGTTTGGAGATCTAATTTGGTTTCTATGGATGCAGTGAATTCCACTTGGGACTTCACGAACATAGTGTCAATCGAAGTTGATCCAGTTGTAACAATTCCAGCTCTGAAATGAATAATCATAGATGACTCTTCGAAGAATGTAAACTATAGTCGTCGAAGATAACTGTGTTGAAGCTATTTAACAGGTTTTTGGCTATGGTCTTCAACTGAAATTATCCTTCTTTCACTATTGTCATTGATGTTCAATTTTAGTGTATCTAATGTAATTTTAAAACGCTTTCAAATTATTATAACATGAACTATTCTTATCTGGTTGAATGGAAGGGCGAACTTTGATTGAGTCATTATGCTTTACAGAATCAAGAGGCTGAGATTGCTCAGCCCGTTTCCTCAGCTGATCCCGTTATAGATCTCGTAAATGGTAAATCTCACAAGAATATATTAATCAGACAAAAGTTGCGTATTTGGAAGGACAATGAAAATCTGTTTGCGACTATAAATTTGAGATATTCGTAAATTGTCGCATTTGTTATTTTGAAATAACGTGTTTGAAGATGAGCTTTCATACAAATGCACTAAATTGAATTATTAATGTATTTATTGTTTGATCTAGGTTATTCCGTAATATATTCAAAAACTTCCCGCGCAAAATTACGTATTTTGTATCCGCAGCAAGCCTTTTACCCACAACTTACCCTTTTTCCTTCTCTTCCTAACCCTATCTTTTTATTGACTTGTGTATGGGGTTGGATTCTTTCAATCTCTCTGCACACAATTCAATAGCGTAAATTTCCGCTTGAGATACAGTCACCCTGGATCTGCGACAGAAAACACCTGCACCAGAACGTGAAGGTATTTTTGATCTATCTGTGAACCAACAACTATCTGTTGATATTTGCTTGTCCCGGAGGATCCAGTCCTTTCTACTCGGGAACAGGCATAAAGTCAGAGGTCATTTCCAGAATGCTGTGACTTCCAGTGTCAACCAGCAGTCTGTTGCACTCTGCATTAAATTGATTTGTGCAATTGACAATGTGCACAAGTCTATATGCAGTCCATCTAGCCTCTATCTCTCTCTCTCTCTCTCCAGAAAAATGTGGAGAGGAGGTAGATCTCCATGACCGCTAACGGTATGGTACTGATGGCACCACTGATGGCCAGACAAGCATGTATGGCCATCAGTGTCTCTGTAAGCTAGAGAGCTTTGCCTGAGCCGTTCTCTGTAAAACCTTCGGTCACCAGGCAGTTGCTCCATAAGTGAACGTTGGTCTGACAATCATCACATAAATCCAATGGATTTGTTTGGGACCTAAACTCCAAGTTTTACTAAAAATCCTGCCAGTTTTACACAAAGCTAGACCGTCCATAAGGACTTTTTCCAAGTGAGCATTCCAGGTGAGATTTTTATCAAGGACAAGGACCAAGATATTTCACCTCCATTCCAAATTGAATGACCTCACCATTGAGAGAAAGTGGCGTTGAACAGTCCAATTTTCTCCTCCTGTTGAAGGGGAATATCATAGTTTTGCTGGGGTTGATAGACATCTGCTTCCTCAGGAACCAACTGTGAACAACTTCCATCGTGGTTTAGAGGATATTCTCTCTCTCTCTCTCTCTGTTTAAAAAAATCTGAAACTAATGGCCTCGCCTTGAAGAGAAGTAGTTGCAATTCTGTTTATCAGAATGGCATAGATCCAGCCATTTATAGTCGATTCTATGCCTTTCCTACGGGTGCATGTACTGTTACCGCGAGATTTTCCTAGACAATAAAATTTTTGTCAGTTTTTCCTTCGAAAGAATTGTACAAAATGCCTCCATTGCATCCATGCAATCCAATGACTAACTCACAAACAGCCAATAATTTACTGTCCTCGACCTGATATTCACTCAGCATTACTTACGATTTTTGAACTAAACCTTCGGCATTTCTGTTCCACAGAGATATCTCGATTTTTCCAGAAAGATCAAACGATGTAGCTCCTCTGAAGTCGACTTTGGCGATGAATCCATTGCTCAACCGTATATGTTCCAGATTGTCCTGGAGCAAAGCTAAAACCTAAAAATTATTTTGGAATACATCTTAATGATATTATTCATGACATACCTGAAACGCTGGTGTTTTTTCAGAAGCTGTGCCTGACCAAACGTGCCCCATTAGCTCTCCCTGCCCATTGAAAAAGACGAAGGGCCGAATTTGCGTGCCCATAACGGTCAACTCAATACCAGCTGTAGCCGATTCATCTGCTGCTTCTTCTCCTCCCGCGTCGTTGTCGCTAGAGATGAAACTATGAAGGCCTCCAGAGAATATACCCAGCTGAAAAAAGAGTTGAAATATATCAACTGGAGTTCGCAAATATAACATAGAGAGGGTGAAACCAAGAAGTTGAAGAAGATAGGCTCCAATGAAACTTACACTCAATAGTTGGGATGCCATGTTCCCTTTTTCCATCACAAGGTCGATAGTACCACGCTTCACAATGCCCGATTTCATTTCTTGAACCGTCACCAGACTACCGTTACTGGATTCACTGGTCAGGAACCTTCTAGTTAATGCTATCGACAGACCCCTTGGCGACATCCCGGAGTAATTATTCAATTTCCTATTACTCCTGATCAGTCGTTGTACTCTTTCCTTGAAATCGGAGTTCCCATCAGCAATCAGTTTAATTTTTTGGAAAATGTATTGCTTGATTTCGTAAACGGGGTCGCGGGTCAGTAGAAACTCCAGCATATCTTTTAAAAGATCGTCACTTGGCTTCGTTGCTAATAAAATGTCGGCAGCGAATGTTCTGGAGCTACTGTCGTGTCTTCTGTCAAGCTGGAAGAATGTTTTTTTCGCTGCAGTTAGTACTTCTTCATTCCAAAGGGTTGCATCAAAGGATTGCAATGCTTTCCAAGATAAGACACCTTCTTTAGAGGTTCCGTTTCTGATATAATTCAAAAGAATTGGCACTGTTGTAGGTGACTTTAGGTTTTTCAAAGCCCTAAAGTACATGAACTTCTCTTCGCCTTTGGCGTATTCCAGGTTGGCTAAAATGGTTTCCTCTACATCTCGAATTATCTGAAAAATCAGGAATGTTCATGGAAGCTGAAGGTCACAAACTATCATAGTGAGTTAATAGTTTAGAATAGTATAACCGTAGAGGGTAAAATGTACGAATGATTTTTCCGGAAAAGCTTTTTGGCTTTCTACTCTTCACCTTTGTACAAAATATGTGAGAATCTTCTGAAGAAAGTTCCTGCGAATGGTATTCGTTTCAATCCCATAACGAATGTTTGGAGTACAAACTGAATTGGAAAAAGCTATCACAACAGAGTCCTATTGTGAGGAAATCGACGAAATGTACCGAAAATAGCGTCAGCACCAGCGGGCACTGTCAACAGAAGAGGTCCGATCCTACTCCACGACAACGCTCGTCCGCATCTTTCACAAATCACCACCGGGAAACTCAACGAATTCAGCGTCAAAGTCCTGCCTTATCCATTATACTTCCCAGATCTCTCGCTAAACGACTATCATCGTTTCAAGCACTTCGGTAACTTTCTCACCGGTGAAACCTTCGCCAATCAGGACCAGACAAAAACGGCCTTCGTCGACCTCATCAAATCCTGGAATTAATCGACTTATATTACGTTGGCAAAAGTGTACCGATTCAAAGGACGCTTATTTCGATTGAATTATATGATTCAAATATATACACAGAGGAAGTGAAGGTCATTTGTTTTATGTTTCATTCAATGTTCAATCATCAATTTGGTCATTGATGAATGCACATTTTGCAGAGTTGTTGTCTATTCGGTAAGGTAAGTTCTTGTTCAGAAACACTACAGTGTGCACCACATGATGAACAACATCTTCTGATGAGTTATAATAATGGTGAATTGGACAATCCACAAAAACAGATGAAAATCAATGTTACACTAATCATACAAATATAGAAACTAGTGGTATTGAAGATATCTCTCAAGATAAAGTAAGAAAGGCTATTGAAAAACTCAAAAATAAAATGATCTTTGATTTGGATTCTACCTCCCTCGTTTATTTTGAAAGACCACTATGCTTTATCTGAAAGGTATCATTGAATACCACAACTTCTCGAAAGTTTTCAAAAATATGTCCTATTTTGAAGAGTGTCGATGTGTTTAATAGAAACCTTATCAGCGAATATTAGCAATCGTTCCACAGAAAGAATTCAGCTGTGGTTTCTCAAACGAGTTCTGTACTGGAGAAGACAGTTCAGGCTGGGTTTCAATTCTTCAATTTCAACTTTTTTTAAGTCATGTCAAAATTACTATGGGATAAACATTCAATACTTGTTCAATAATGCACTCCCATTTAAAATATGGAATCCTGTTTTGGGGACATTCACCACTGTTCCAAATTATTAGAAGATCAAACTGATCTTCCTCTTGAAGATGATCACTTGGTGGTCGAAACACGTGTCGAGGTGTTAAAATAACGGTTTGATGTTGGGAAAAAACTCCAGTAATATTCATCAAATAATGTATCTATTACTTTATCCATACTCACATTATTTGCTTGTTTTTCTTCGAGGATAATGCTTTCGCGATGTCTGCCGCAGTTGCACTTCTTGCCGAATTCACGAGGTCCAAAAAAACTTTGGCAGGTTTCAGGGTTCCGAAGTATTCCGGTTTCAAATGGTTTCGCAGATTATCAACTTGTTTCGGAAAACTAATTACGTCCTCAGGTTGAACCAACTCTTTTTCTGTGAGTAAAGTTTCTTGAGTGAAAATGATCCCGCTTTTTTTGCTGATGGTGTCGATTACTTCTTCAAGACTGCTTTCTGAGAAGGTTTCGGTCCGCCGTTTCTCTATGAAGATCAGGCTTTGGAGGGTTTCCACGTGAGTTCCCAAGTCTTCTTTGGCAGAAAGAATTACTAGATGGCTATCTTGGGAATTTATAGACTCTATATGCGTTGAGGTAGAGTCCAATTCATACTCGGCTCGTCGGAGAGAATTCACTTCGATGCCCAAAATTTTGTCTAAATTTCTGGCGTTCGGGAGTCCTTGAGAATCGCATTCCGTTTTCGTTTTCAGGAACTTCGTAGGGGATACGGACGAATAAGTAACATTACATTTTCCAGAAGCGTCTGTTTCGCTGTTTGGCCCATCTACGAGTTGGAACTAAAATTGTAATGAAAATTATACAAAATATTCAAGATCAGATTGTGAAAAATGGAATTAATGAATGCAAAAACAATGAGTGCAAAGATATAGCCCGGGAGGTAGCGTGCATTTCCACAATGACGTCACGTTGTTGGACACTTTCATCTTTTAAGTGCTCGATAGAAAGACACCAGATTGTCTCTGATCTGGATTCCTGGCCATAATGACCTGGAAGGCAATGAAGCTGCTGACTCCCTTGCAAAGGAGGATGCTGCAAGCAGCTTCATTGGACCAGAACCTGTCATTGGTATGGCAAGAAGATTTATGGCCTCCCGGCAGAATCTTCTAGGATTGCACAACCCTTGCGGGTTGCGGCGGAGGGTCGAATAGACTAACTCACTTTGGACCTAACCTAACCTAAGTGCTGAGCTTTCCACTCCACAATTTCCTGTTCAAATCCGAGCATACTTCAAAAATCAGTTGCTCAGTGTTGGTAGTACTTTACATTCGTACTCTGTTTCTTAATAGTGAAGAGTTATAAACGATCATTATAAATGCATAATGCTAGAGAACAAACGGAGTTTTGCGATTTTGTTACGATTTGCCACAGCTTGTATAGGTGGATTCATAATACTTTACCGGGTTCATACTATTTTTATATCGCGTACGTTTAGGTATTAAATCAAAAATACTTGTTGAAACCAATAACTATGTTTATTTACTTATACAGTGTGTAAAAGCCAAATGCAATAAGTTCATTATTTCGGTTACTGTACATATTTTTAAAAAATCCCGAGACACGTCAAATGTAAATTATAATTTGACATTCTTCGAGATAGAAATGCCACCCATATCTTCAACTCCCTTCGAATGATAGCTACAACCCCCAATTTTTTAAATGGCAAATATAAGTTTGTGATATATCGTTTAAAAGGCCTCTTCATTCTCTATTAAAACATGTTATCGTTTTCGAATTTATTGCAACAATTAAGAAAGAATAAATTAAAATCATGCGGTTACCGAAATTCGATAAAATACACTCAAAAACTAAAATGTAATGCAAAACGTAATGAAATGTAGAATACGAAAAAGAACTATGGGTGTTAACGAAGTAGATTTTCAAAATGTTCACCGCAAACGTCTTGGCAACATCCTAATCTCAAATAAAACTGTCTAATCGCAAGTGTTATTCGTTCTTTCAAGTCATTCAAATCTGAAGGTTCAGTTTTGTATACATTGCTCTTTACATATCCCCATAAAAAGAAATCTAATGATGAAAGATCAGGTGATCGCGCTGGCCATTCAATCGAACTCGCCTCCCTATCCACCGATTGGGAAATGTTGTATCGAGGTATTGCCGGGCATTAACCTGGTAATGTGGTGGTGCTCCATCCTGCTAAAACCATATCGTATTCACTGGAACTTGAGGATTTTTTGGATCAGGATATAAATTTGCTAAACCTGGAATGACATCATTTTGAAGTAGTGCCAAATGATATGGTTTCCTACAATGTCTGTCCAAACATTAACCTATTGAGGGTATTGCGTGTGTTCTGCTCTCATCCAGTGAGGATTTTCCGTTAACCAGTAGCGACAATTTTGCCTATTAGCATGACCGTTGAGAGACAAAGTACACTCATCAGAAAACATAATGTCTTCTAATTGAATGATATTGTTATCGAACATGTCAATCATTTGTTCATAAAAATAAGTTCTTCTATCAAAATCGTCTTCCATGAGCTCCTGAGTAGGTATCATTTTATAGGGATGCATTTTATCTTCTTTTAATATGTTTACTATCGATGTATGGCTAACATTGAATGTAGTGGATGCATGTCTACTCGATGTATGTGGGTTTTCCTCAAACTCAAGCATCACATCTAATTTGTGTTAATCACTCATTGCATTGGCAGCTGCTTTTTTATCTGCTTCTCCATTTTGCTTATTGCCTTCAGATATGGGCGGTGAATTAGGAAATTACTTATGAAATAGGCGAGCTACTCCTGTTGTGTTCGAGTTTTATCTCCGTAACCAGTCATTTGTAAAACTGTTATTTTATGCATTTTCGTTAATCTAACCATTTGTCAGACTTGAAGTTAACGAATTTTAAATTTGATTTAAAATACTGACAACTAATGTAGTAACATACAAAACAAGTTGACAAAGCGTTTTAAACTAACTTTGTCATGGAAATTATTTACAGTTTTTTAAAGGATATTATCTAAAATGAACATTGCAATGGTTTTTGCTAATTTTCTTATTATCAATACCTCAATATGAAATAAGTTTCGAGTATTTTGCAATGAGTTTTGAGAGTATCGAGTGTTGAGTGTTGAGTTTATCGAATTTCGGTAAGCACATGATTTTAATTCATTTCATCTTGATTGTTGCAATAAACTTGAATAACATTTTTGAATAGAGAATGAAGAGACTTTCAAACGATATATCACAAACCTATACTTCACATTTGAAAAAATGAAGGTTGTACCTGTCATTTGAGAGGGGTTGAAGATAGGGGTAGCATTTTTCCGTTGAAGTATGTCAAATTATAATTTAAATTGGACGTGTTTCGGGATTTTCTCAAAATATGTACCGAAACCAGTACATTTTCTGTTTCGTTTTTCCCGGCTGAAATGTATACCTACATTGAGAAAAGTAATGGGACCAATGTAGACCATTGGGAATATTATCCATGCTCTCGAAATTCCAGTTACTCGCGTTGGTTCTGTTAACAGTAGTTTTCATACCATTACATTCATTACGCACCTCAAATATCAATTCCAAACGAGGCTTCTACGGCAGTCTGCTGCAAAGCCAAGTTTCAACAATGACAGCAGAATGAAAAATCGCTTTCTGTCTGATGATACTTGTCGGATAGAAACAACACTGTTGTTTGTTGGATCACAAATGCTCTTGTGATGCACTGTTCGGAACCTTTGGTGTAGTAATTAATATTACTCGAGTTTTATTCCAACACCAAACCGTTATTTAAACACCTCGACACGTGTTTCGATCACCAAGTGGTCAGCTTCAAGAGGAAGATTAAAGTCAAAGAGGAAAATTAATATTCCTTTTGAAGATGATCACTTGGTGATCGAAACACCTGTCGAGGTGATAAAATAATGGTTTGGTGTTGGGATGAAACTCCATTACTATACAAATGCTCTGTTTTGGACTCTTAATTCATCAAGTGGCTTGTGCTTAATTTTTCAAAGGAACAGTTAAATTACAGAAGATAGTGCTAATGAATAAGTTAGTTCAATGTATCTTTTCTATGTATATCAAGGAACAAGAAACGGTGACGTATTTAAATTTGGTCCTTCCCTTTTAAATTTACGCCGATATTTATCTACTTTGCCACCTATAAAAACGCACCGAGAATAAGCGAAGAGAATTAAAAAAAAAATAAATTGTTCTTTTCTAATTCCTTGAAATCAATCTACAAGTCTAGTCATGCATTTTTAATTATGCTGTCTCTTGTACTGAATTCAACAACCGTTCGAACAAGCTATTAAGATAACAGAAACCATTTCGAGTACGTTATAATTTGTGACTGCTTACTAATATAATTTAGTCAAAGCCAATCCATGACTTCCTGTGTATTATGAAACGTTTCGGAGGAATATACGTACGCACTGAGGCAAAGAAATAGCATTAATCATAGCGGTAATGTTACTGGTGAAATGTTCTAATCTGACCATAATTAGATCATTTTTCAATTTATTCATTCGTTTTTAGAGAATCCATGCAAATTTCTAACGTTTATTATCAATTATATTAATAGAATAACATTTTTTTAAGGCAAAAAAAGTAATTTTGCAGGTTACAGAGTACTGGGTACATACAGAATAGGTCATTGAAAATGAACTGAATTGGCAAGGGAAAGAATTTGTGGCCGAAATCCAAAGTTTATTCCTGAGGGGAAAAATAATCTACATAAAAAGAGAAGAATACATCATAAGGAGTTTCACCGGGTGCACTCAACTCAAATCCAACACCAGAGACCTGGGCAAACTCAGAAGTGGAGGTCCTCGAATGGACCTCCAGGAAGAAATGTCTGGTGGAAGACTAAATGGTCAATTCAACCATATAGGCCATCGGGATCAGACGGCATTCTTCCCGTGATGCTGCAAAAAAGGACCGGTACATCTACCTCAAAAATTGTGTGTGATCCTTAGATCAAGTCTGAGATACATATCAAAAACATGGAGACTGATTGAGGGCAACTCAATTCTGAAACTTGGTAAAATTGGATAGCATTTGGCAAAGGCTTTGAGACCAATGGGTCTCATATCATTAGCATTGAATACACTAGAAAAAAATACTTCACAGGTATATTAGGTACATAGTACATAGCATTGACTACCAGACCACTGTATCGTGTACCCCCACCACTGGTGTAGGGGTACCTAAATCTTTATTACAGAACCAGATTGGCAAATTGGTCTATAAGAAACACAAATAGTACTGGAAGAATATACCTCGGAATACATACGGGAAAACGTCCAAAAAGAGGACTGAACAGCTATTTCAAAAAGGCAGGGATCGGCTCACAACAATCACTGGGCTACTCATTGGAGGACAGCTGAACAAAATAGGACTATACAACAGAGAGTTACAGGAAATGCAACTGAGGAACAGCCTTAACAATTGTGAGGCACTGGATCACAGAAGACAAGCAACCTAAATAATGTCCAGAAGAATATGACATACTTCCATGCAAGGTACTTGTACGAACTAGTACAGGTAACAGGATTTTTGGAATGGATGACATGAAAAATATGGAGGAAAAACACAATAATCCAATGAGACCGCAATGTTTTCTGAAGTTTTGGAAGAAATAGACAAGTCAGTCAGTTCCCAAGCAGTAGCAAAAAAAGGGGATACATTTTGACATCAGATGAGTCTGATGTCGCTCAACATGGCTTGGAAAACGATCACAGAATGAGAGAGGAATGCTTGAAATTGTGAAGACTGGTACGTGACAACAGGCTTTTAGATGCCTTCGAAAGTTTGGGAATCGGAAACTATGGACAAAGATCTATGAACAACGACAATTATTATCAATTATTGTCTTTCGTAATGAGTACGAGTTGAAACCAGGAAAATATAGGTATAATTAGTCATTTCCTAATTTTTACCATATACCTATTTAGGATGCAACAAACTAACACTATAACTAATACTACTGAATTTTTCATTGACACTCATTTGATGATACATCACTTTCGACTGGGAGTATAAAGAAGAATTCAACTCAGTGGTGAGATTTACTTTCAGTCATCTCTCATTTCTTGATCAGCGGGAGATTAACACATTTTCAAGGCATAGGCTGTACAGTTATTGCCGCACTTGGCTCCTTCATTATTTTTACAATCCAATTATTTCGTTGAAATTGCAAGTAAAAAAATTTTTAGGTCATTGTCAAAATTTGTGGCAGACTTCTATCTGTAAGACATCAGAAAACTGTCATGCCAAAATCTTTTTGATTTCCACTGCTGGTAAATCCGCCACTGCGATGATGCTAACTTGGTTGGTAAAACGCGTATCAAGAGATGGTTTTCTAGAGGTTTCCATTATATCCATCAAGTACAACGTTGATTATTTTTTGAAAAATGTATCAAAATCATTCACCAAAGTAAAAAGTAAGACTTGAATTCAAACGGTTACTTACTTGGAATAAACTAGCTATTCCTTTCTTGAAGTTCAGTAATGAAAGAGTTTCTCCTTTCGGTAAAAGCAGTTTTTCAACTCTTCCATCTTTCCATACGATCAAAAATGGTTTATTGACTACATCGTCCAGTTTTGAAGTGTGTGCTTTGAATCCATCAGGGGAAGGAGCCTTCCTTGATCGAATGTGAAGTTGGGGGGATTTTAGCTGTTGAGTATATAAAATATAAAATATATATTATTTTCACTTTCGAAACATGTATATGGGATGAGTCATATTCGAACGAACTTTGCATAGATTATATTTTTAAGATCAGCTCTGAGAAGTGTCGTTAAAAATATTTCGAATTGTATTTAAATAAAACAAATTTTTGTCATTGTTTGGGTACATACATTTCTATACAACTCACACTGAATTATGTTGTAGTAAAAAATAATTCCGACCCCTTCTGTATCTGTAGAGTAGGTAGGGTGAGTGTAAGTCCACAGCACTAAGGCCACATTCAACCCATTGTACATCCTCCCGAGGGGTTGTCCTCCTAGGTCATCGTCCATCCTGTCCTTTTCAGGAAGGTGGACAGGTCATTAGGGGAAATCTCCTTTAAACATTTAACCTATTGCACATCCTCCCGAGGAGTTGTCCTCCTAGGTCATCGTCCATCCTGTCCTTTCCAGGAAGGTGGACAGGTCATTAGGGGAAATCTCCTTTAAATCGGCAGGTTTAGGCCAAGACTCGCCGATCACACACTCTTTTATGAANACATGTGACCCATTGCACATCCTCCCGAGGAGTTGTCCTCCTAGGTCATCGTCCATCCTGTCCTTTCCAGGAAGGTGGACAGGTCATTAGGGGAAATCTCCTTTATATCGGCAGGTTTAGGCCAAGACTCGCCGATCACACACTCTTTTATGAACGATAACTCCGGACACTCGCATGAAATATGCCTGACAGTTTTATCTTCCTGTTTACACATCCTGCATAGAGGTGTGTCCACTAGCACCATAATATAGAGGTGCTCCCTTAGTTAACAGTGGCCAGTCAGAAATCCTACTGTTAAGCGTATTTTTTTCCTGGTCATCGCCAGATATTTCTTCGGCGCCAGCTTCCCAGGTTCGCCCAGAGTGATCCTGGCAAGACTGCATCCTTTGATTCCATCCCATCTCTTTAGGGATGGAGCATAGGTGTGATGTTTGGCTGGTTCCTCAATTGTCGAAGTCATCAGGCCGTAGGTGTCACTGGGTCCTAAAATTCTTAGTCCAACCGCAATCTTGGCTGAAGAGTCGGCAATGCGATTACCTGTCGTGCCCTTCAACCCACCTCAGAATAATATATTATCTATCAAGGCTTTGGCTAAATCTTGGTGGCACTCTAGTACTAGCCCTGAGGTAACACGTACTGGCGCTGAGGTAAAACGTTGTCTGTTCAAGGCTAATAGCGCTTGTCTACTATCAGTGCAGATTGTTATGTTTTTGCCAGAAAATTCTTTTCTGGTTATTTTTTTTTGTGGTGATTGAGATACCAGTCAGTTCTGTTTGAAACACGCTGGTATTTTTCCCATTTTCCACTTATTCGTCAGAATTAGTGAGTGGAGGAAACTCCATATCCTGGGCCTTCTTTGGTGTTTGAGCCGCCTGTATTTATGCGTATTGTATTAATAGCATCTGACTCTGTGTTCTGTTTTATTTATATTTTGTAGAGTTCATTAAACACGAATCTGGGTTCGATTGCATCACTGGCTGCCTGCAGCAGAGGTTGCGGAGTAAGCGCTTCTCGCCATAGACTTAGCTTCAATTGACCCATTTCTACTTCTAGGTTTACAGCGCACGGCTGGTGTAAACAGCGTAACATTCCCATTAAAGCAACTTCTTTGAAGTACAGGCCCAAAGGGGCCAGACCAGTAATTATTTCCATTTTAGCGGTTGGTGTTGTATTCATGACTCCTGTGATATTTAAATGAGCTAATGGCTGTATTTGATATAATTTTTGGATGTCCGTTGCTTGTAGAACTTTTGGTCCCAATACAATGGCTCCGAACGTTAACATAGGTCTTATTGTTGCAGTATATATCCAGGTGACCACACGGGGTGAAAAGAATCCATGTGCTTCCCACTGTCCTACGATATTGCTCATATGCCATATATGCTCTGTTTGCTTTACTCTGTAGGTGAGAGTTCCATGTTAGTACATTTGTGATTTCAATTAGGAGACCAAGAATTTGTAGAATATCCTAACATCACCTGTTTTTAGCAACCAAGTGTTGCCCATTCCTGCACTTGGCTACACCGTGCTGATGAGGCCAATAGCCAGAAACACGTTGCCGCGGTTTGCCAATAATTTTTCTTGAGTGCTGTTCCGACTAATCTTTTCCTTTTTGAATTAAATCATAGACACTCGATAACACCTTCTTTTTTATAGGAACTGTAATTACATGACTCGAGGACGAGGTCGCAATCTCCCTTGCCCTCAAGTCTCGTTACTAGCCCTATGCTTGCTGTGTTCAGCTCTGAATGCGAAAAGCTGAACACAGCTGGTTTCAGTCAGAAGACCTAGAATTCCCAGGCAACTTCAACATGACCACGTAGGCAGCTATAGCTACCTGCGTGACATCCAGGTCCAGGATATAAATAGAGATATAGATGTTATGGAGTGTGTAGGATATAAATAAAAAATAGAACAATTCGTGGACACAACAAGAAAAAAATTGAAGCAAACAATAAATTGAAAGAACTTATGGAAATACCTCATCAAAATAAGGTTTAAAAATGAAATAGCATACATTCACAAACATAAAGAACGATAACAGTTGAAAACATTTTTTAAAGCGCATTTTGGTGAGTTATTTCCATATGTTCTTTCAATTTATTGTTTGCTTCCATTTTTTAGTTTCAGATATTCTTGAAAAAGGAAATAAAATATTCCGAAAGCTTGAATGATCAATAAATAGTAATAATTTATAGTCATTCGTTATTGACTACCAAACCCTTTCAATATAGAAACTGCACCATACTGATGATGAACCAAAAGCCCGAAACACGTGTATATGGTTTGCCACTTTCTTGAGTGGTTATCGTAACTGTTATAATTCATTGTAATCATTACTGTATATGTTATTTCATCGCATATAAAAATTATTATCATATCTTAATCTAATTTTCTGTCCACTGAATTCTTATCGAAATCTATTTGAGCGGTAAGTTCTATAGTTTTCTGATTGAAGAAGAATACATTGAATAACTAAATGAATCCTTGAGTATATGTTATTTCATCGCATATAAAAATTATTATCATATCTTAATCTAATTTTCTGTCCACTGAATTCTTATTGAAATCTATTTGAGCGGTAAGTTCTATAGTTTTCTGATTGAAGAAGAATACATTGAATAACTAAATGAATCCTTGAATTTATACATGTCCGATATGTCATAACTATTCTATTAGAATAATTATAGGTTTTCTGTTTAGCGGAACGAACTGGCCAGGTGACTTTCTTCAATTTTAACCAAAGACGATCACATATCAATAAAATTACTAAAAAAACCTCGAAAAAAACAACTTAATTTTTCCAATTAATGAATAGGTTCAACAATAGGAATGTATTCAATAAAATTAGTTCAACTGGTTATGAATATTAAGGCACATATACGAAATAATTTGACATTTCATTTAGCTAATGTTCAAATTACTGAAATCGACTCAGAATGGGACAAAACCATTTTGTCTTTTAATGACCTAGGTTACAGTTATAGCAACATCTTTATGTCTATGTTATTAACTAAGGCACTGTCATCTACAGTAAGCTCAACGAAAGTGTTGCTCATCTCTCATCTTGGTGATTCGACTAAGGTAGAATCCTGATTGGGTTTCAGTTTTGAATTCAACCAAAAGAAATCTAAAACAGGAAGTCTGAACAATTACGTAAAATGGTCGGCTCAACATCAAATAAATTTTCATCCATTTCCAAGTCATCGTTCATGTCTACATATGAAACGTCTTCGTCATCATCCTCTGATGAAGGCACGTCGTTCATTTGTGCAGATTTTTTCTTCTTCAGCACGAACACTCTTCTTTTGGAATCATTCTCCTTGGAAAATTTAATCTATTTTCTTTCCTGCTCTAATTTCTGGAGCGCTCGTAGCTGTCATACTCTTGCCTTTCTTCCTCGGCTTTTGAGTCGGTTTTCGTTCTCCTGTTTTTAGATGACCACGAAAATCTTCAGTAGAGAGGAAAGCTTGACTTGAAGCAGCTTCTGGATCAAGGACACTGATTTCTGCATGGTTCGAAGCTTCTCCTTCTTCTACTTGTGCGGGACAGCCATTGCAATAACATAATTGCATTGCTTAGGAAAAACATTTCGGTCAAATGGATGTATCTCACTTCATTTAGATCCTGCAACTATATTAAAATCTGTTTTTCCGTTAACCAGCTGTCGCACCCCTACGAACGACAACCCTCAGAAGTCGAAACTTGTGCGAGCTAAGGATTAACTAGGTCTTACTTTTTAACGTGTGATTCCTAACACGTGTTGGACGGTAGCAAGTGAAGATCGATCGTTCAGACTAGGGCTTGAACCACCGACCAACACGGCAGTCAATTCGAGTGAGTGAACAAAGCACCCACGCCGAACCGCTTGGCTACCGACTGACCGAAAGGAGTCATGCTTTTCTGGTGAGCTGTATTTACGAAGGATGCTATATTATAAACTGAAGCTGTTTTCCAAGGTTTTGAATCATTTCAGAGTCAAGAGCAGCATTATAGTAAGTGTTAAACGGCTCAAAAACCGCAACATCCAGTGGTTGCATTTTATTGGATGAATGGTAAGGTGAAGTCAAAACTGAAACGCCATTTTCTTTGTATAGCATGCGAGTTTCCAAGGACAAGTGGCTTTCTACGTTGTCATAAGATAAAAGAGGAGGGTTTTCTCCAGAACTGTAGGTGTAGCGAAGAAATGCCTAATAGTTTCGACAAATAATTCTGACTCATTAAATTCATGGATGTATCCATTCCTACGTGGTAGGAGATCATACTTAGAAATGAAATCTAAAGAAATGAACTTTAAACGTTCAAGCCACTCTCGAATATACCTACACAGTAGGTTGAATGGCCTGACGCCTATCAGAAAACAACTACTCCACCGGCTAATACCACGAACGGCGATGGATTATATCCGACAGGCGTCAGTGCAGAAATTTTCAAAGAAAATTTCCTGC